GCACACGAAGGTTTGACGAGAGTGCCGTACCCAAAACGCACACCTTGTTTATGCATCACTCCCATCTGGCAGTTCCCGTTACAGAGGAACCTCAGTTCTCAAACTTAATCCGTTCCAGAAGGTTGTTTGAGAAGTGATTTGTTAAAAAACTGAATAGTTTTTCCCTTAGAAATCATGTAAATTGAATTAATCCATTCCAGACACCCAAACAATTCCGTTTTAACCTTTCTTATATACAGTCCACGCCTAATATACTATTTAATCTATAAACAAACATTTCTTAAATTTATTGAACCACCCCTACGAGCCTTAAACACATCACTTTAGCACCCGGTCCAGAGATATCTTTCAGGTCAGCATGCAGCATCTTTGCTGGTTCATTTAGCACTGCCCCCAAGAAATGGCTGTCTCTGGCTCACTGCTTTTCACTTATACAAATCAACAAGTTTTTCTACTTCTTCAATTGTCTGTGATCAGTTTCTTTCACCCTCTTAGCAACATTAGCACTCTAGTAGCCTCTTTCTGGTTTAAAATTGTGCAAATAGCTGATTTTGCCAGAAAAAAACAAACAAAACATTCCCTCGTTTGCTGCCTGAGAGATGCTCTGTGTCATGCTGAGGTATCCGCTTGAAAGAGCTGTCAGGTAGAAAACCTGTTTCATTCGACAACTGAGACATTTTTTCTGTGAACAATTTGTCAAGATCCAAATTATTTGAAATGGGAGATGTTTGAGAAATGAGTTTTTATAATAAACAGATTATCTGGTAAGTAACATGTTTCTTTGAGTTCTGTAAGCTGCTCTATCAAATTAACTGAACCCAAGGAGAGAGAGGTTGGCCAGAATTCTGGCAACAACCTGAACTTGGCCATTAGTGTCTAAAGGGTGGAGGGGCAGTCTGTGGTACTGAGCCTTGAACTTGTGTGATCTGATGCTATCTCTGGGTGGATAGTGTCAGAATTAGGTTAACTGGTTGGTGGTGCTGGGGGAAAAAAACCTCTTTCGACCATCACTGACCTAAAATTTGTAAGTTGATAATGAAGCACCCATCTACTCTGAACCTGATTTGCCCATAATTCTTCAAATGTCTACGTCTTAACTTTTTAACAGTCATTAAGAAGACATCAGCCTCTTCCGTAGTTACAGTCAAAAACAGTTTCTCAGTAATTAGAGTATTGGCCCACGGACTGAAGAGTCTCAGGTTCAATTCCAGTCAAGGGCATGCACCTCGGTTGCAGGCTCAATCCAAGGCCCGGGTTGGGGCGCATTCAGGAGGCAACCAATGGATGTGTCTCACATCCACGTTTCTCTCCCTCTTTCTCCTCATCTCTCCGACTCTCTCTAAAAAAAATCAATGGAAAAACATCCTCAGGTGAGGATTAACAATAACAACAACAACAAAAAAAGGAAAAAAAAACAAACTTATAGGTTCAATTCCCAGTCAGGGCTCATGTCCAGGTTTCAGACTTCAGTAGGAAGTGTGCAAGAGGCAGCCTATCAATGTTTCTTTCTTCCCCCCTCTCCCTAAAATTAATAAAAATCTATTTTTAAAGAAGTAAGTTTCCTCATGCCCCTTTGCCCTAATCTCAGCTACCATTTTGCTTTCTGTGATTTCTATCACCCTAGCTGAGTTCTGTATTTTCTTGAAACTCACAAAAATAGAGTAGTTGTATATAACTGTCTTCCTTTTCTTAACATAATGTTTGAGATTAGTGTTATTATTTGCCATAAAATACGATTTTTAAATTTTTATGTTCCTACCTTTATAGCTTCTGAATGTCTTTCCTTAATTTAAAATATCTTTCTATCTCTTAGACTATACATAGTCATCTAAATATTATTTTAAGATTGTTATTAGTTATTTTATATATTTAAGAATTTAATTCATTTGGAAATTATTTTAGAAAATGAGAATAGGGGTCCAACTTTATTTTTTCTCAGATGTCTGTTTTGCCAGCATCATCTATTAAATGAGCCATCTTTTCTTCCCTGTGCCAAAAATTATCAAGAGATGGATATTTACCCAGATCACTGACCTTCATGTAGGTATTCCTATTGACAATACTTATCTCGTGCCAAGGATGCACAAAGATTTGTAGCAGACATGAAATCGCGCTTCTGCTTTTCAAACTGGTCCATAGTTCTGCACTGCCCTTAGAGTGAAGATCACATGTGGCCTTGTGACCCTCTCCAGCATCACCTAACACTGCTCTCCCTCACCTGCACTCCTACCACGTGATCCTTCCAGTTCCCCAAATCCTGGCCTTTCCTGTCTGCTCTTCACAGAAGGCTTCATCTGCTGGGGAAGCTTAGCTTCCCTACTTGCTCTTCCCCCCCTACACAAGCCCAGCCTTCGCTCCCTCTTCCATCAAGTCTGTTTCAACATCCTTTCTCAGCTGCACAGAGCCGACTGACTGCCCTTCTCCCTAACCCCCTATGTTCCTCCAGATTTCTCCTACAGGCCTCCTCCCAGCACTGTGCACACTGAGGATTAGTAACTGTGTGCTTCTTGCATCTTTCCCACTACACTGCTCTAAGTCCCACGAGGTCAAGGCCCATTTCTATTTTGTTCACCACCATACTCCTCCACATTTCCTTTCCTGGCTCAAGAAATACTGAGCACAAAAGTCAGTAAGAAAAATGAACACAACTGAAGCATCCCAGCACAGCAACAGGAAAAAGTCACAGAAGAAATATGAAAAGGCACATAAAATATGAAGATGGTCAGTGCACTAATGACTTACAAAATAAAAAGAAAACCTAAGGTATTTTTCTCCTATGAGATTGTCAAAAAAGAAAACTAAAACATGGGCCATTATTGGTTAAAATAAATTGGTACAACCTTTTGGAAGGCAATATCTATATAAATAAAAGCCCAGAGACCAGTACGACCAGATCGATCAGTGGCTATGATGCACACTGCGGCAGCCAACCAGCATGATCTGGGCCCTGACTGGCCCCAACACCCCAATTGGGGGTGGGGCCAGTAGGCCAACTGCCAGAAGCCCCTCCCCACCACTGGCCTGACCAGACCCATCCTTGCACAAATTTGTGCATCAGGCCTCTAGTAGTAATGTCTTCAATCAAGTAATCCCACATCTAGGACTATTCTCTAGGAACACATGAATAAGCAAAGATGTATATACATAGCTTTCTCTACAGCACTATCCCTATTAGGAAAACGATAAGAAACAATGCAAATAGCCACAAAATGATTTTAGGTAAATAAGATTATAATTTAGCCCTGTAGTGTTATACTGAAATAAAGAAATGAGTTATATCAATTTAAACAGATAATAAAACACTCCCCAGAGCACTCACATATTCTGTGCATGCAATTAAATCTTCTGTGCGTCTCAAAAATGGAAAAGTAAGAGTTAATACTTAACAATTTTATTCTAGGTAAGGACTTGTACCACTGGATGCCCGCTAACAACAGAAACTAAGACCAGTTTTACAAACAGCTCTGAGGAGAACTGACACTTCCACTGGGAATTGTCAGATGAACTTGGTTTTGACTTTAAACTTTTTTCCACTGTGTTTTTATGCTGCTTTGAATTTCTGGAATGAAGAAATGAGTTATACCAATTTAAACAGATAATAAAACACTCCCCATAGCACTCACATATTCTGTGCATGGAGTTTAAATTGCAATTTTTTAGAAAGCAATCACTCTACAATCAAAGAACTTTAAAACTGTGCCTGCTATTTGCCCGGGTAATTTCAATTCTAGAAAGTGAATTCAAAAGAAATTCAGATATGTTCAGTAAGTATATACAGTGGGCAAAAATAAGTTTATAGTTGTGATTACCCAAAGCAGTTTATTCTTGTATTATTATTAATAATTGTATTATTTTCCATATAAACAATTGTAAACCTACTTTGCCCCACCTTGTATTACCCTCACTGCACTTTTCTCTAATAGGAAAAACCTAAACATCTCACACCATGAGTTACATATTTTGTGATGTGGTATGACTTCATGAAAAATGACTATCTGGAGAAAAATGTACATCTAGTGCTGTCCATCTTCTCTCACCCACTAACATTAAATACACACAGAGCAAGGACTTTTAATCACTGGTTATTCCTAGTTTAGAACAATGTCTAGCATACAGTAGCCACTCAAAACCATACAAAGTGAATGAATTTGAGTAATCCAAGTACAGTCAGAAAAGATTCTAGCTAGAAATATAGTAGAATCACATAACTCATCCATTTACTGAGATCAACTGTCCAGCAAAACAAAAGAATGACATCATGTCAGTGATGCACTGGTGGCTCTGGAATGAGAACGGATCTCACAGGGTGGATGCCACACTAGCCAAGTGTGATTGTGATATTTAAAGGAGGATTTTTAAAATACAATATGCCCTCTAAATATAAGCCAACTACTGGCTCTGCGGCTCCACCCTAGAAATATTAAGTTGCTCCAAAGATGGGCTTTTTAAAAGGATTCCCAAGGGTAATTTTGACAACACAGAAACTCTGCCTTGGGAGATAACGTCAGAAACCAGCCTTTCCACCTCTAAATAAAATGCAAATCTACATTATGCCACAGTGATAATCTCAGATATATCTGGGATATGAATAAGCAGTTCCCTTTTTATTTATTTTATAATATTTCTACAATTAGCAAATTGCTTTTGCAGTAAGAAAAACGCTTTGTACAATTTTTTATTAGTCCTTCCTACATTTACAGCGAAATGCTAGGTCTGGTTACAATGCTCCTCTGCTTGACCTTTAAAACAACACTACTCCTTTAGTGTATCATCACTTGCTAAAAAGTTTACCCATGCAGCACATTGTTTATTTTATCCTATTGATCTATGCTACTTTAAACAATTTCTTAATAAGTATATAACTCAAGTTACATATATTTTCAACAAGAATAAGGCCATTTTCAATCAAGAGTCACATAAATGTCTAGGAAATAGAAAATAATGTAAGTTCCTTATTGACATGAAAGCTTTTAAAAAAAAAAAAATCCAAAATAAGGTACCTGAACATCATAGAGTGCTACGATATTTTCATGCTGAAGTTCCTGTTAAGAAAATTAAGAATTCAAAATATTTGTATTTATTCTAATAATGTTAATATATTTCAATATGCAAATAAAAATTAATTTAAGTATACACACATACACATGCATATATGTTATATCTAGTACACTACAGTTCTTTTAATAGATTACAACATTCAATCTACTAGACGGTAAGAAATGTGCCTCATCAAAATTTACTTGGGGCCCAAATATTTTTTCATCACTACTGTTTTTTAGACTTTTAACAAGGTATTCTCATTTACAAAATAAATGTCATAGTAAGTATGACTATTGACTTTCTGCCGGTCTCTTAAATTTAATATATAATTTCTAACAGCAATAGGGTCATGAAATTCCAAAGTGCTTCTTAAAAGCACATTATGCCCTGGCCTGGTGGCTGTTAGTTGGAGCGTTGTCTTTGCACAAGAAGGGTTTCAGATTCAATTCCAGACCAGGGCACATACCTAAGTTGAGGGTTTGATCTGTTTGGGGTGCACACAGGAGTCAATGTATCTCTATCAAATCGATGTTTCTGTTTCTTTCACTTTCTCTTTCTCCCTCCTCTCTAATTGACTTTTCTTTTTTTAGAAAAGAGAAAGAGAGACATCAATGTGCTCAGACCCAGGAATGGGACCGGCAACCTTTCAGTGCAGAGAAGACACTCAACCAACAAAGCCTCACTGACCAGGCCTTCCCCTATCTAAATCAGTAAACATATCCTCAGGTGAGGATTTAAAAAAGAAAAAGGCCCTGGCCGGTTTTCTCAGTGGTTAGAGTGTCGGCCTACAGACCGAAGGGTCTTGGATTCAATTCCCAGTCAAGGGCACCTTGGTTGAAGGTTCAATCCCCAGCTCCCTTTAGGGTGTGAGTGGGAAGCAACCAATTAAAGTGTCTCTAACATAAAAATGTTTCTCTCTCTCTCTCCCCCCTCCTCCTCTGACTTGTTCATTCTCTCTAAAAGTTAATGGGAAAAATATCCTCACTCCTTGGGTAAAGATTTAAAAAGAAGAAAAAAGAAAAAAAAAAGAAAAAAAAAGTCCTAGCCAGTTGGCTCAGTGGATAGGGCATCAATCTTTGGACCGAAGAGTCCTGGTTTGAGTCAAGGACACATTCCTCGGTTGCAGGCTCCTCTCCAGCCTGGGCCCTGGTCAGGCTCCTGCAGCCAGGGAACCAATCAATGTGTTTCTCTCACATGGATATTTCTCTCTCTTTTTCCCTCTCTTCCAATCTCTCTAAAAATCAATGGAGGAATATCCTCAGGTGAGGATTATAAATAAATAAATAGAAAAATGTTTAAAAGAAGCATATTATTTGCAGGGAAGAAAATAAAGTGTAATTCTTTGCTCAAAGAACTGTCCAAAGCCCAGCAGTGTTGATGAAAACTGGCATTCCAGGTTCACAGCAGTCTGGGACACGCTGGGTTAAGCACACCTACACCAGCCTCTTCACTGCATCACTTTCAGGCTTTCTTCAATGAGCCACTGCTCTGAAACTCTCCAAGAAGTACTTAGTAAGGAGGACTTATCGGACCCTAGGACTCTTTTTGTCCTTAAAGCATCTCACTGGGATAACATTGCTTGTGAGTGATCTAAGGAAACTAACTCTCTTCAATTTGCAAGGAAAATAAGATTGCAAGCGCACCCAGTTCTCCAACTGTCTCAGGAGAGGGATCCCAGGAGAGGTCAGTGATGTATAAGGGAGGCCTGCCTCTCTCCAGACAGTAAGTAACACAACAAACAGGGATAAGAAGGAAAGAAATTAGGAGTTTTCACAAAAATCACTCTAAACATTAGAAAAGAACCGAAAACACCTATTTTTTTTTTAAATAGCTTCCCAGTTTCAATGTTTCAAAAAACTGAGCATGCAAAAATAAGAGCAACAGGTGAAAATTCTCAAACTTGAGTCCAACTACCAAAATTACAGTGTGTCATCATATATTCATTTATTTTAAAGTAAGTTTTAACCCAGTATGAAATATCACATAAAGGAACATACCTTTAAGATTTTAATTTCCTTCCCAAGCAGTATTTGTGATTTTGACAAGTTCTTTTTATTAATACTTTTAATAGCTACCTCCCAATCAGTTTTCTGAAAAGAAAAAAAAAAAAAGTGTTACTTCTGGAAATTATTTAATAAAAATAATTCAATGGGGGGAAAATCTATAAGCTTAAAGATGCTTTTTAGCAAATTCATGTACAGCACTGAGGGGGGAAAAGTGGAAAAGAACCAACTGGAAAGTGATTTCATGACTTACAGTGTAACATGTCCTGCAGACAGCCACTAAATGATAATATGGAGATCACACGGTAACCAGCGGTAGGTGGAAAAGAGGACAGTTTACAACTATTAAAGTTATGGAGGGTAGCGGATAATAAAAGAAGGTAGTATGTTTCACTGAAAACAGGATTTGATAGCTTGGCAGGATTAAGATGTGTTTTAACTATTTTTTTCTTGAGGTTTAAGTGATTTTCAAAACAAATGAAAAGCAGCATTATCACTTGATCAGATAAGCAACAAAGCCAGCCCCTTGGCAACAAATCAGAACTGCCAAACCCTCTAAGATTATGTCCACTCCCGAGGTGACTTTCCAAATTCTCTAAATTCTAAAACCTTGTATGACCCTAATTTTCAAAACAGGAAAAACTTAAAAAAACAACAACAAACAAACATAAAAACAGCTGAACCTGCGTTCATGTTTATTTGGGCTGGAAAAGGGAGCGTACGACCATCTTTCCCACTCGGACCCCGCCTCGCCAACCCCAGGCGCCCGTCGGGGTGTGGAGGGACCCCTGCAGGGGCAGGGGTACCGAGTTTGAGAAAGCCTGGGGCTAACGGGAAGCAGCCCGCTCTCCGCGGGGGCGCGATCTCCGCCTCCCGGTGCCCAGCGCTGGCCCGGGAGCGGGTTCACACCGAAGGTGCGTCCACCCCGCGCCGCGCGGGGCCCGGTGAGGTCGGCGAAGGCTCCCCGGGCGCCTAAGGGGCGCGTCCCCCGCACCGTCCGGGCGCTCGGACCCGGCGCCGACCCGCGGGCCGGGGCAGGTGGAGCGCAGCCCGGCGCCGGGGCCGCAGAACAAGCCCCGCCGGCACCTGCCAACACGCGGGCCGACGGCGCGCACAATGGCAGCGCGGTCACCGGCGGCCCCGCCCGCCGCCCTCGGGGCCCGGCCCCGCTGCGGCCGCGCGGGCGGGAGGCAGGGAGGCCCGCGGAGGCCCTTCGCCCGGCCCGGCTCACCTGGCGGTGCCGCCCCCGGAAGACCACGGCGAAGGCCCCGTGTCCCACGAGGTCCCTCTTGCTGTACTCGAAGTCGCCCACCACCTCCATGGCCGCGGCGGGGCGAGCGGCGGGATCAGCGCCGCGGGGCCGCCGGCCGGGAGCGCGCCCGCCGGCTGCGGGATGGGGGCAGCCGCGGCCCCAGGGGCCGGCGGACGCTCATGCCGGGAGGCCGGGGCGGAACGGGAGAGGCCGCCGCGCGCGCGGGGCCGGGGTCAGCGAGGCCCGGCCTGGCCCCGGCCGCTCCTCATGCGGCCGCCGCGGCCGCGGCTCCCTAGCGAACGGCCCGGCGCACCCCGCCCGGACGGTCACTGGACGCCCGCGGAGCCGCGCGCGCGCCCGGGAGAGGTGCGGGGCCCGGGCCTCCCCATCGCCGGCGCGTCCCGCCGCCCCGACCCTCTCCGCGCGGGCGCCGCGCCGCCGCCGCCGCCCTGGGACCCACACGGCCGCGCGGCCCTCGTCCCCGGCCTCACAGCGGCGCCCCGCGCGCCGCTCCCGCACGGCCCGCCGGCCTCGCGACGTCACGCGCCTGCTGACGGCGCACGCGGCCACGCGCGCTCCCTCCGCCAGGAAAAGGAGTGCGCGCTCCCTGCGGGCGGCGCCTGGGCAGTGGCTCCCGGGCGGTGGCTCCCGGCCGCCCGCGGGCTCAGGGAGGAGGGGACTCGCTGTTCTGGCCACACGGCCCCGCGCAGCCTTGAACTCCAGCTGTCAGCGGGGCTGGAGCTGGTGCGTGCGGAGCACAGAGATCTAGGGCACAGGAGCATGTCTCCCGGTTGCTTGCTGCGCCCCCTGAAACTCTTAGGAAAGGCTGGTCCTAAGGCAGTTCCATTTTTGGTGAATCTTCTGAGGTGATTCCATACTGCCTTCTCCAGTGGCTGTGCCAGTCTGCACTCCCACCAAATGCACCCTGTGTTCTTTGCAGCCAAGATTCAGAAGCAGCCCAAGCATCAATCAGCAGAGGAGTGATAAAAAGTTGTGGTAATTTACACAACGGACTACTATTCAGCCCTAAAAAAGGAAATCTTACCCTTTGCCACAGCAGGGATGGACCCGGAGAGCATTATGCTAAGTGAAATAAGCGAAAGACAAGTACCACGTGATCTCATTCATATGTGGAATCTAATGTACAAAATAAACTAGCAAAATAGAGGCAGACCCATAGTTAGAGAGCAGACTGACAGCTGTGAAAGGAGCAACTAAGGGGGTGGACAGATTGAGCAAAAAAGAAAACTAATGGACACGGAAACAATGTGGGGGCGGGGCAGGTAGGAGGGATTAAAGGTGACCCAGAGAGACTTGGAGTGGTAAACGCACCACCCCGTGTACAGGTGATGTGTTGTGGAGTTGTGCACTTGAAACCTGTATGATTTTGTTAACCAGTGGAACCCAAATAAATTCAATAAAAAGGGGGGAAAAAATAAAGGAAATAGGACACAAAATAATAAAACTATTAGGAAAAGAGTCTCAAGGTCCAGACCATTCTTACTAAATGCTATTCTTGCTAAGTGTAAATGTAGCACAGTATTTTGCAGACCAGCTATAAACAGGATAAGATTGACAGGAATCCAACCTGATTAAGTAGCCAACTGCAAAGAAGACATAAACATGTGATTAACCAAGTTAAGCAATGGCTGGCTTCCTTCCCGCAGGCAGAGCTTGGGATGTGAATCCGGGCTCCTCCTTTACTTGCTTCATGTAAATAAAACTTCCTTGTGACAACCACATCTCATTTTTTAATAGATGGCACCAACTAGTGAACCCCTGAGTTCAATAACAAAACCAGAATGAATTCTTACCATTTTTTCAGCAGCATGGATGGACCTGGAGAGCATTATGTTAAGTGAAATAAGCCAAGCAATGAAAAAAAAAACACCACATGATTTCACTCATTTATGAAAAATAAAGAACATTATAACCTGACGAGCATAAAGATAGATACAGAGGCAGTAAAGCATGGAACAGACTGTCAAATTACAGCGGGAAGGCTGGGGAGTGTTGGGGAGTGGGGAAGAGATCAACCAAAGGACTTGTATGCTCACATATAAGCACACCGATGGACACAAGACACTGTGGGAGGTGGAATGAGGGCATAGGATGGGGTAGGAGAGGCTGGGGGAAGGTCAATGAGGAAATAAAAGGAGATATATGTACTACTACATGTAATACTTTAAACAAAATTTTAAAAATTAAAAAATCAGAAGTCATGGTGCTCAAACTGCCTTCTTCCCCTCTGTGTTTACTGCCCAGGCCCCTGAAGAGATGGTGTAGAGCAGGGATCAGGCACCTTTTGGGATGCTAAGGTTTCTGCAAGAAGATGAGGACAGCTCAGAACCCTCTTCCCAGAGACACGTCTGCTCACGCAGACTCAGTATTGTAGACAGTGGCTCTAATGAGAAGTCCTGCTTCCTACCCTGCTTCCCAGCTTTCCGAGTCCTTTCAGTTTGACCTCAGGCTCACCCTGAGTGGGAGCTTTCTTTTCTACCTGATTACGTTTCAAATGCAGGGGAACTCATTTGTCAACTTACCCTGAAGAGTAATTAATAAAAAATAGCTTGAAAATGTCAGAAAACTCAGGCTCTATGCTATAGTGTATGCTCAGTGGGTGACCAGGCCTGCAAGGGAGGGCAGTTAGAGGCAATCAGGCTGGCAGGGGAGTGTTAGGGGTGATCAGGCTGGCAGGCAGAAATGCTTAGGGGCAATCAGGAAGGCAGGCAGATGAACAGTTGGGAGCTAGCAGTCCTGGATTGTGAGAGAGATGACTGACAGCAGGCCTGGGTCCCACCCAACTGCTCTCCCCTGTAGGCCTGGACCCTTCAACTCCCCTCCCCTGCAGGCCTGGTCCCCCTCAACTCCCCTCCCCTGCAGGCCTAGTCCCCTCCCCACCCCAAATGGGCAGTTGGACATCCCTCAAGGGGTCCCAGAATGGAGAGGGTGCAGGCTGGGCTGAGGGACACACACCCCTGTGCACCAATTTCATGCACCAGGCCTCTAGTAATTAATATACAATTTTGAACTGTTTATATTTAATGTCATCAGAATTATAATCCCACTCGAGGACACCATGGAGATGTTTAAGAAGTCACAGAGGCCCTTAATTCAGACCTGCATCACATCTTGTGAGCACAGACCAAGCAATGGTCCTTGGCACACCGCTGCTTTAAAAGAAAATGTGCAGCTTACACACTGACTTGTGGCTCATCACTGAGCAGAAGTTGTACGGGGGGCTTTGCTGAGGAAGTACTTATTTAGGACTCTATCAGTAGCAAATAACCAACACCAAATGTGCTAAAGCAAAAACTAACAAAGGAATGTGGATAAAGACACAGGTGTGCACCTCAGTCTCAGAGCCCACAGAGGACTGCCCCTGCAATCCCCGGTTCCACTGCTTTCGCCTCCACGAGCCTTCTGAGTCCCCCGGAGCACACCAAGTGTCTCCCAAGGGCGCCGGCTCTGCTCACACCGGCCGAGTGTGGGGGTTCAAGTTGCTCTGCGTTCCCAACACTTGGAGCGCGGTCAGCCCTTTGACCCAGTTGGTGGCGTGTTTGTGTGTCCCAGTCTCTGGGGATGTGGTGAAGAGGAACTGTTCTTGGAAGAACCTCTCACACTGTCCTCTGGGTGCTCGTGAGGTTAGGGCTGTAGGGGTTCTCCAGAGGAGGTGCCGGGCGAAGGCTTAGGGAGGACAGCAGGGCTGCTGCTCCTCCCTCCCAGCCCAGCACCCAGTGCTGAGAGCGGCCTCAGTGGTCTCAGGGCTTTCCCTCTGGTCCCCGGCCTCTGCTTTTCCTGCCCCGAGACCACATGCAGTTAGAACCCACGAGCTTCCTTCCCCAGAGGCCTGCAGTCAGGACCCAGCATTCACTTCCTCCTGAACTGGGTAGGACATGGGTCAGCAATTCTCACCACAGTGGGGAGGGAAGAAAATCTGTTTACCTATTGACATATACTGTATCAAAAGTTACAACAAAAATGCTTGCCCTGGTACCCGTTTTGCTCAGTGGATAGATCATTGGCCTGCAGACTGAAGGGTCCTGGGTTTGATTCCTTTCAAGAGCACATGCCAGGCCAAAACCAGTTTGGCTCAGTGGTAGGGTGTCGACCTGTGGACTGAAAGGTCCCAGGTTTGATTCCGGTCAAGGGCATGTACCTTGGTTGCGAGCACATCCCCAGTAGGGGGGGTGCAAGAGGCAGCTGATCGATGATTCTCTCATTGATGTTTCTAATTTCTATCCCTCTCTCTTCCTCTCTGTAAAAAATCAATAAAATATATTTAAAAATAAATAAATAAGAGCAACTGCCAGAGTTTTGGGCTCAATCCCTAGTGGGGGTGTGCAGGAGGCAGTCAATCAATGATTCTCATTATTGATGTTTCTATCTCTCTGAAATCAATAAAAAAAATTTTTAAAAACATAAAAATGCTTAAAATATTTTTATTTAAAAATAATACACATTAATATTAACATAAATTACATTTTACATGTAATTATCCTATATAATAATATGCTAATTGGCCATCACTCCAACACACATGGGCTGTTCAAAGATGGCTACCACAAGATGGCAGGCAGGGGAGGGCAGTTAGGAGCAATCAGGCCAGCAGAGAAACAGGTGTCAACCAGGCTGGCAGGCAGAAGTGGTTAGGGGTAATCAGGCAGGCAGGCGATCGGTTGGAAGCCAGCAGTCCTGGTTTGTGGGAGGGATGTCCGACTGCCTGTTTAGACTGGATGAGGCCTAAATGGGCAGTAGGACATCCCTCAAGGGGTCCCAGATTATAGAGGGTGCAGGCTGGGCTGAGGGACACCTGCCCCCTCGTGCATGAATTTCATGTACCAGGCCTCTAATCTTATATAATAAAAAGGTAATATGCAAATAGACTGAACAGCAGAACAACTGAACAGCTGGTCGCTATAATGTGTGCTGACCACCAGGAGGCACACGTGGAACATGGTCAATGTCAGCAGCAGGCAGCAGAGTGCAGAACATGGCAGGCATTGGCTGTGGGGAGATGGTGGAGCAGGTGAGCAGGCAGGGCCCAGACCAAGGCGGGGCACCAGTCACTGTCATCAGGGCAAGCCTCTGGTGGTTACTGAAAATTATTTGCTCCTGTGTGCCATGGTCCCGCCCGGCACTCGCATCTGCTGCCGGCACTGGCCCTGCTTGCACCCATTCCCAGCACCAGAGCCGCTGCTTGCACCCACTGTCAGTGCTCAGCACCATCAGGGGGTGTGAGTGGCGGCTGCCAGCCCCATCGCTCCTCAGGCTTCTCCACCTCCCCCTGCTCTTGAGGGGTGATTGGAGCAGCAGCCACCACTCACACCCTCTGATGGCGCCGGCCCTGCTTGCACCCGCTGCTGGCCCAGAGCGATTGGGGTAGGTGCCAGCAGTGCATGGGAACAGTGATGGCAGGAGCAGGGCTGCTGGCAGACAGGACTTGGGGCAGTGGTGGGAGGGTCCAGGCAGGGGCACAGAAGATGGGCTGAGACCCAGCCCTGTGCTCACCACAACCTCACAGCCCACAGTTCCTTTCAAGGTGCACAAATTTGTGCTCTGGGCCCCTAGTGAAAATATAATAGATTTTTGAAACAAAAAAAATTTAGTTGGATGTTGTTGTTTTGCATTTTTGTAAGTCTTTTATATCTGGCTAAACAGAAGACAGCTGGATTCTCATCTGTTTGGATTTCATCTGTTGTTTGGGCTGAAAAACATGAATAAATTCTGGGCTCAACTATATAGTTGGAAAAGGGAGGAGTGTTTTGATAGCTCTGTGGATATTCTTTAATACTGCACAAAAACTTGTCAAGTGTTTCTTCCTTTTCTCTTCTTCTCCTTCTTAATGCATTTTTATTGATTTCAGAGAGGGAGAGACAGAAACAACAGTGATGAGAGAGAATTGATTATTGCCTCCTGCAGGCCCCTACTGGGGATCAAGCCCATAGCCCAGACATGTGACCTGACCAGAAATCGAACTGTGACCTCCTGGTTTATAGGTCCACCACTGAGCCACACCGGCAGGTTGACAAGTGTTTCTTAAAGGTTAGTTGAATGTAGAACCTGAGACCCTATCGATGAGCTTTTTATACTCATGTTAAAATTTACCGGTAGATGTTGCACTTTGAATGAATCTTTTACCTACATACATGGTTTTGTATATCATGCATTGGTCACTTGAAAAATACTGATTCATTGGGCTGTGCAATTTTCCAAATGTTGATACATTTCATCATACAGTATTTTAAAAATCACATTTGTTAATAAGATCTCATCAGAAATGCCTATATTGGGAAATTATCAAGCTCACAGTGGTAAATAAGTTTTCCAAAATTCTAATTTTTGTATGAAAATTCAAATTTTATCCTTTGCTGTGTTTTCTTCTTGAAGTGATGGGCTCAAGAAAATGCCTTTTAAACACCCAAGTCTGCACGAACAGTTGTCAGTTCTTCCCAGGTGCCAGGGGCAGCAGCAGCAAGTGCTGCTCACACGCAAACACGCACGTTTAAGTGTGTTTCCTGGAGACAACCATGATACTCCCCATGTGCAGACGTGTTTTATGCGTGTTTCCCTTTTGTCCCACATTAAAAACGTACTTGCAGGTTGAAATTTAATGAAATAATTGTTACTGCTTCATCAGGACATTCTTTTGAGAAATTGGCTTCTTAAAAATTTTGTCAATCCTCAAAGATATTTTTTCCACTGATTTTTAGAGCAAATGGAAGGGAGGAAGGGGAGGCAGGAGAGGAAAAGTGACAGAGGAAGAGAGATGTGAGAGACACATCAACTGGTTGCCTCCTGTGATCGAACCTGCAGCCCAGGAATGTGCCCTTGACTGGTTATCGAACTGTGACTTCCTGGTTGACAGGTACTCAATGACTGAACCACACTAGCCAAGGCCTGGCCTTTTTTCTTTTCTTTTAAAAATATATATATATCTTATTGACTTTTTTTACAGTGAGGAAGGGAGGATAAAGTTAGAAACACCAATGAGCTGCCTCCTGCACACTCCCTACTGGGGATGTGCCCGCAACCAAGGTACATGCCTGCTGGAAACCAAATCAGTTTCACTGAAAAAGAGATGTTGACAGGAAGCTAGGAAGGCTGGTCAACAACCTTAATTGCTCTAACCTTAGTTGAGATTTTGTTAGTTGAAGCAGAATCTACCTTGTCCGTGAAAGTTTCTGTTATTTCCTGCCTAAGGGCTACATGTAAATTTCTGTTTATGTTGCCTAAGATGTTTTCCCCAAAGCCTCAATAAAAGGGATAGCAGGGCCAGAGCAGTTCTCCCACTAGAGTTGGACTACCGCCTGGCCCCCCAAATCGCCAAATTGAATTTCTTCAAGTCTCTTTTCATTTGTGTGCGGCCCTTCTCCAGAACCTGAACCCTGAATTGGAACTCTTTCTACGCGGGCCGTGAAAGAGAGTCCTATACATGCCCTTGACTAGAATTGAAGTTGGGACCCTTCAGTCCTCAGGCCAATGCTCTATCCACTGAGCCAAACTGATCAGGGCCTTTTCCTTCCTTCCTTCCTTCCTTCCTTCCTTCCTTCCTTCTTTCCTTCCTTCCTTCCTTCCTTCCTTCCTTCCTTCCTTCCTTCCTTCCTTCCTTCCTTCCTTCCCTCCTTCCCTCCCTCCCTCCCTCCCTCCCTCCCTCCCTCCCTCCCTCCCTCCCTCCCTCCCTTCTTTTCTCTTTCTTTTTTTAAAAAAATGTATTTTATTGATTTTTTTAACATAGAGATGAAGGGAGAGGGATAGAGAGTTAGAAACATCAATCAGCTGCCTCCTGCATACCCACCACTGGGGATGTGTCCGCAACCAAGGTATATGCCCTTGACTAGAATCAAACCTGGGACCTTTCAGTCTGCAGGCTGACAACCGGTTTCAGCCTTTTTTTTTTTTTTTTTTTTTTTTTAATGTCAAGTGCATGGTGGTGAGAATACAATGATTAGGTACAACTTGGGTGTCAATGTCCAGATTCCTGTTACAGTGCCAGAAACTTTACCCACCATTACTTCTATTCGATGAGAGCAGATATTCACATGGTGAAAAAGCAATTAATATCCTAGTGTTAATACGAAATAGTTTAATCCAGAGGGTCTCAGGGACACTCGTACACCTGCAGATTACACCTTGTGAACCGCTGAAACAGCATGAGAGACACATACAGTATTTGTTTTAAAAAATATATATTTTTATTGATTTCAGAGGAAGGCAGAGGGAAATATAGAAACATCAACGAATCACTGGTGGGCTGCCTCCTGCACGCCCCACACTGGGGATTGAGCCCACAACCCGGGCTTCTGCCCTGATGGAGAATCGAACCTCTTGGTTCACAGGTGGATGCTCAACCACTGAGTCATGCAAGCTGGGTGAGACATACAGTATTGACATCACCCCTTCAGCTTCTACTGTAAGTCTAAGGCACAGGAAGGTTAGTTCAGGTCCTGGGCAGATGGAAGGCCGTTAGCTGGGCTGGTTCACTTAAAACAGACCTGCCCCCAGCCCTCTCCTGGGAAGCGCTCACACATTCGCCGGAGCAGATGGGGCAGAACTGACCCTCACTCATGCCCAATTGGATGTGAGGTGTGCTCGGGGGGGGGGGGGACGGGGGGACTCAGACGGAAATCAGGGAGGCTCTGGAGGACAGGAGGAAGTGAGCCAGGGCCTCCTCAGGCAGCCTGTGGGAAGGGCGCTTTGAATTGTGGGCACTGTCCAAGCAAAGGCACGGGCTGTGAAGTGTAAACGGCCTGAGGAAAGAGTGGGGAGAAGTGCAGTTTAAGGCCCAGTGGCCCAAGATCTAGGACGCTAGATCAGCCAGGGCTGTAAATGTAAACCAGGAATTTGGACTTGATTTAGCAGGCAATAGGAGCCTGTTAATGATAGGTGATCTTATATTTAAGGCAAAGGAAAAAAAAAAAATTAAGGTATTGACCTGAGTAAAAGTTTAGGGATGTTGACAAAATAGTCAGATGTCTAGTTATAATATCTAATTTATTCAGTTATACATGCATGTTTAAAATAACATTATATACAATACAGTAATACAAAATATTGCTTTTCCCCTCCATTCACATTTCAAGTAAAAATTTTATTCCAACTCTCTACATGCATCCTGGGTGTCAATGTCTTCATCATTACCTAGAGCCACGGCCCTGCAGCGTCTCCCTCACTGGTCTCAGCTGTCTGGGAGGCAGCGTTTAAAACACTCGGACGATAGTCATCGGGAAGTCTGATCCACACCGTGACGCTATGACAGCCCGCCCCAGCTTACCGTGGAGGTGCATGTGTGTGATCCTCACAACAAGCTCGCTTATTGCTTTTGAAATTGCTCTTTAAAAGGCCGGTGTACAAAACTCTTACAATAGTGAGGGAATACCCCCTGGAATAGTTACCAAATTTCTTACCTCCCTCCTTTAAGTCGCCCGTAGGAGGAGCTGTTGACCATTCCCAGGCTAAGGAAGAGGAGAGACGGAGGTAGAGCAGTTGAGGAGGACTGCGCCTGGGGACGGTGTGTCTGTGAGTGAAGTGCGTTTTGGGGACAGAAAAGGAAGGAGCTCTGGGTCGGTTTCTTGGGGTGAGAAGGAAGGAAAGGTGGGTGTGGACAAGGACTTGGAGAAAGACAATGAGGGGTGTCCTGTAGCCAAGCAGGTGGCAGAGACAGTGGCCCAGGGAGCGATGGAGGAGGGAGCAAGAATTCAGCCACTGGCCAGGAGTGGGTGGCCCTGGACAATGCTGGTCTGGCTGGGGAGGAGTGGCCACCCATGTCAGGACGGGGGAAAAATTCCACTCTTGAGGGAAAAGGTCCATGCAGATGTCCTGGGGAAAGACTGGGTTACAAAAGGGGGGCTGGTCCACCTAGACTTTGCAGGCCCCCTGCCTCCCAACAGGTTCCTTGCTCCCTTCCATAACGGGAAGCTGACGAGGTGTCATTATTTGCTTTCTAGACGGCAAGGAGAGCAGGCAGAGTGTATGTCCTGGCCTGCTGCTGTATCCGCAACAAGTAGAACGGGCACAAAACAGGCCTCAGGAAACGTGCTGAAGAAGGAAAGAGGAGGGAAATTGAAGAGGAAAGAGAGGAAGGTGGAGGTGCCAGCAGCCTAAGTGAGGGACTTATTATACAAAGGACAGCAGGAAGAGACAGCAGGAAAGGCATGGCCAGGACCTCAGAGGGCGATGGCACCAAGGCCCTGGGGGACACACTGGAAGGAAACGGACCAAAAGGTGCCACTGGAACCTGGGTGTGATCCCAACAGCCTCAGGTCTCAGCCAGGAGGAACGTGTCGCCCGCACCGTCTCCAGCAAAGGCACTGGGGCTGGGGAGCTGAAGTCGGTGGGGCCAGGACTGGCCTCTGTGGTCTCGGACCTGTGTGCTGACTGAGACAGTGAGGTGTGTGGGTGCTCTGGGCTTTGATAAATATCTGAATACTAATAAAGGATTTATGTGCTTGTTTGAGTGGATCATGAGTAATAGGTCCTCAATTACATTTCTGAAAAGCATGGGCTTTCCCAATAAAAAGGAATGAAAATATTCACTTCCCAATCTTGAGACTTTAAGGCAGTGATTCTCAAGTGTGGTCTCCGGAGCAACAGGGGCGGCATCTGGGAATCTGTTAAAAATTCAAAGTCTCAGGCTCCACCCCAGAACTACAAGTCCCACTAAAACCCTGGGGGCGAACAAGGTCTCAAGGGAACCCTGATGCATTGAAAGTTTCAGAATGACTTTACGGTAATGGATGAGATGTGTTTAATTTGTATGTATGTGTGTGTGTGGAAAGAGCATACACGTTATTTCTTGAAGTTAAATACACTGGGGAAACATTGGTTAATAAAATTATATAGGTTTCAAGTGTGTAATTTCATGCGACATCATCTGTATACTGCATTGTGTGCTTACCACTGAGAGCCAAGCCTTCCGTCAACATATATGTGACCCCCTTTACATAGGTACTCACTTAGAAACTTTGGTCTTAAGAGAGGATTTTATGAATTTGACCCTAAAAGCCAAGGGAAATTAAAGCAAAAATAAATTAATGGGGCTATTTCAAACAAAAAAGCTTCTGCACAGCAAAAGAAACCATCAAAAAAACAACAAGGCAGTTGAACAAATGGGAGAAGATATTTGCAAACAGCTCCAACAGGGGGTTAATATCCAAAACATATAAAGAACTCAACTCCACATCAAAAAGACAAATAATCCAATTACAAATGGGCAGAGGACCTGAATAGACACTTCTCCCAAGAAGACATACAAGTAGTCAACAGATATAAGAAAAGATGATCAATTTCACTATTAGGGAAATGCAAATCAAAACTACAACGAGATACATCTGTTAGAATGGCCATCATCACAAGACAAGGAGAGGATGTTGGTGGGAACATAAACTGGTACAGACACCATGGAAAATAGTATGGAGGTTCCTTAAAAAATTAAGATTGGAGTTACCATGACTCAGCAACCTCTCTTCTGGATATTTCCTAAAAAACTTGAAAACATTTATTCTTAAAGATACATTCAACCCTATGTTCACTGCATTATTCATGGTGGCCAGGGCATGGAAACAACCAAGTGCTCTGCGACAGAGGACTGGGAAGGAAGGTGTGGTACGATACACAGTGGAACACTGCTCAGCCGTAAGAAAAGACGAAATACTGTCATTGTGACAACATGGAGGGACCTAGAGAATATCATGCAAAGCAAGTAAGTCGGACAAAGTCAGGAACCATATGATTTCACTCATGTGAGATACAAAACTAAAAGCAACAAATGAATAAGACAAACAAAAAGTCAAGGACGTGTTACCAGAAGGAAAGGGAGATGTGTTTAATTTTAAAGCAACAGTCCCTACATTTTTCTTAAGCACTGATATCTGCTGTACTAGTTTTTGTGAGCACCAACCAGCAGCAAAGGAGAGCAGCCAACAGCGGGCGGTAGACAGAGCAGTGGGGAGGAGGGCAGTCTTGCCGCCAGACTTGATCCCTGGCTGAGACCTTGGAGAAATGCCGTTACCCCTTAAGCCTCAGCCTCCTCACTTACAACACGGGAAAAGTGCTGTTTAATATTGTTACACGAGTCAGGTGAGACGGTTATCATTGCCATCAGCAAAGTGCAGCTCAGGAGCCCATTCCAAACGGCATCAGCCTAATAGCTGCTAGGCTTCCCCAAGGCCAGCTTTGTGTCACAGGCAGAGACTAACTCACAGTTCTTCTATTTGTAGTTCCTAAGAATTCACAAGTCCCCTACCCTGCACAGCCCCGGGGCCTCCTCTAAGCCTTACCCTGTGCAGAGAGACTTGCCACCATTCGGCCTCAGACAGAAAGGTGCCACCTTTGACTATCAACACCACTGAGCATCTGGCCTTGCAGTGAGCAAACGAAGTGGCACAGCAATGGGTCCTGAGGGGCCCTGGAAGGCAGGGGCTGAAAAAGGGTGAGGTCAGAGGTCACGGGAGGGTGGAGACCTTTAAGGAGAGGAAAACCTATGACTTCCAGTGGGACTTTGGAAGGACAGGGTGTTAAACAGGCTTCAAGAGGTCATTTTGAGTAAAAAATACCAGCACACATTTCTTATGGAACTTCCAACCTTTCTCTCCTCCTCAGTAGAAGGGAAGCTCATTTCACTCCTTCCTCTGTTCTTGCACTGATGCCTGCACTTAGGAGACATAACTTATTTCCGCGGCGGGTGGCATGTGGGCCTCTTACTGCGATGCAGGCGAAGGCCAGCTTAGAATCACTCAGGGGTGAGCCCAAAGGTACATTCCAGGCAGGAACCTCGGCACTTGCTCCTTGGCAAATCCTGGCTCCCTGCAGGCTGAACTTGAGCCCACTCTTTCTAGGCACCGTGCCCACCCCCGGGGCCCAGCGGCCCAGCCTGTGCTCCTGTAGGTGCCCGGTGGTCCCGGGGGGGGGGGGGTGGGGGTGGGGGAGGAGGGAGGAGTAGTGGGGATGCACTATCGCCCTGAGGCAGGGGCTTGTTTATTCCAGGTGAGCTCCAACACCTTGCCTGGGCCTGACTAGGTGGTTCGATGTTTGCACCAAATTACGAAGGCGGAAGCACCACCCTGTGTGACAGGCAAGCAGACAGCTTCTGCCTCTGAACAAAAATGCCCCCAGACCTTTGCTGCCACTGTTGCCTCCAATGCCCTGCCCCGAAGCCACAGTACCAAACTTCCTACTGGGAGCCAACCCAGTCCTGCCTGCGCAGAGGCCTGAGCGCCGAGGTGCGTGATCACAGTGACTGTCAGTGGGTCTACGTTGTAACCTTGAAGGGTTCTGCTGGGATTTACAGCCACTCAGCCAATGGCCAGAGACCGTGATCAGCATTTACAAATGTTCTAATTATTGCCCTCCACCATTTTAAGTTTGTATCAGTTACTCATTAATAGAAATGCCCTGTATTTTGGGGGGCTTATTACAGTTGCTAAAAGTAGCGATGGTTTGTCCTTCAGGATGCTGGGAAATACCAAAGGCCTGAGTGCTAATGGGAACTATCCCACAACAGGGCAAGGACTGGCCCTTATCCTGGGCAGGGAACTTGTCCCTGAAAAAGAAGGAGCATCTTTTGGGTCCATTTGCTTAGGATTCCATTTGGAGAGAATACAGAGTGACTGAGATTGACTAAGGAAGTATTCTCCAGAGTTCAGTGGTACCCGGCACACACAACCATCGGTAATTAGAGCAGGAGCATTTCACGAAGGGCCTTTTGAGTGCACATTTCAAAAGCTCACTTTGCATTGATTTCAAAAAGCCAAATCCATTCTCAGGCTGCCTGAGGGTTAATGGCCTCCACAGCAAGGCTCTCCGGCTGGACCCGGACCCAGCAGGTCCTCAGGGCTATCAGGGCAGCTGCTTTCTCAGGCCGCTTTCTCCTGTGTGTCTACTTCTAAGCCTCTCTGCCTGTCCATGCAGTGCTGGCTAACGTGTCCTCACTTTTTTTTTTTTTTTTTTTTTTTGCAAAGTCTGGTATCCCTTATTCCCCCTGCAAAATTCTTAAGATAAAGAATTTTCTTGGGCATGTTTGGACCAGGAGTCCAACCCTGTCCAGCTGACTGCTGTGTGGGAGAGGGGAGGTCCGTACTCCTGTGAAGAGTGAGGGGGGCATGGTCCAGGTGAGCCAGGCACGCACCCCAAACAGTCATGAGAGTGAGGCCAGCCACTTCAGGTGCTCAGCTATCAGTACTGAACTGAAACAGCAAAAAGTGTGTAACTTTCTGCAATTCAGTGACCTTCCCCTCCAAATCCCTACTGAACTAGCCAAAGTTTCAGTTCAGTGAACTACTTACATTTCATAAAGCATTATTGAATACTGAAGCCAAGTAGAAAGCTACAAAGTGTTGCTTCCTGTTTATTGCTCTTCACTGGACTGGGATCATATCTGCTTCTTACTTTTATCAAATCTCTCAGGAGTAATAAGGAGAGATTAAGTTGCAAAGCTATCGCTTTCTTACTATTTTCCTAACAATTTGCATTGATCTCAACAACGTAAGGATGGATATTTAACTAATTCCTTGAACTTATAAAAACCTTTTCCGGGAATTACATTTTTTTTTTTTTTAAATCCTCAACAAGAATATTTTTCCATTGATTTTTACAGAGTGGAGGGGAGAGGAAAAGACAGAGAAATATCGATGTGATAGAAACACATACATTGGTTGTCTCCTGCACAATCCCTGACCAGGGCCTGGGCCGGGGAGAAGCCTACAACCCAGGTTCTACAACCTTGACAGAACTCGAACCTGGGACCCTTCAGTCAGCAGGCTGATGCTCTACCCACTGAGGAAAACTGGCTAGGGTGGGAATCACATTTTGTGGGCACACTGCACATAGTCTGGAACACAGTGGGTAATCAAAATAAGTACAAGGATCTACTTTAGATCACATATTAAATATGGCAAATGTTTCAGGTCACATTCTGCTTCTGTCCCATGGCAGGTGGGGCAGACAAAGTAATTGAGTCTCAAACTTACTATTCTTCCTAGAAGAACCTTATAACTACTAACATCCCTAGCTCAGAGGCACAAAATGTACACAAAGAACTGATCAATGATATCTTAATGAAAAGCACTAATTTAAATAGCCTAGAGCTTCACAGAAACTGTTATTCCAAAACATGCAGAGGCAGCAAGAGTCACCCAAAATGACTTTATCCTATGACCTTTATGTTGCTTTTCTTTGACTTAAAGATTGAAGCAAAGTGAAATGGATGGAAATATTTTGTTAAAGAACAAAATGAGTTAGTCACAGAACATACACCTCATAAAACATTAGGTCTAAGTCCAGTAGTGGCTCATGTTCTGGGTTTTTGTAAAGGGAACAGAAATATTTGGAAGAATCTACAATTTTAATAGAAGAGCTATAAATGCCCTGAAAGCAGAAAGTTGACACAATTTTAAATATAATTCAGATATATATTTAAAATCAAACACAATTAAATAGAATATGGTTTAAGTACATGAATACTTCAGCTCTAGAAGAATAACAGAGGTGGTACATAGTACCAAAAACTTACACACAGCCTCTTGCTTCTTCTGTTGATGAAACAGTGTGCCTCTCTCTATACAATCAAATATTGCAGTGGAATAAATTCTCTATTCATTCAAGACTTTCTCAAGGACAGAGGTGATGAATAATTATATATATTTATATATTTATATATATATATATATGTCTGTGTTGTGGTTTTTTTGCAAAGTCTAAGCACAAGCAGTCACACCTAAGAACACTCTTTCTCCTCAAACAGTCTCACGCCAGCGGAGTGTGTTCACCAATGTGGCAGCCCATCAGCAGACCCAGGAGCTGACGGAGCAGAAGTGCAGCGAGGCGTCCTCTCACCGTCCTAGAGAATGCAGGAGAGGCCGCCGCTGCATGCTTTCCGCTCAGAGCAAAGGAAGGGGAGGCAATTAAAGTGAGTGCTTTTCCTCCCCCGGACCCTGCCCTCTCACTTTCTTAATAAACATTGCTCAAGGTACGACAGGGGAACTCTGGAGTGACCGTTGTGATGTGTTCTGAAGGGAAGTTAGATGACCCGGAGCACGGAACTCCGGCGGAGCAAGTCCTGATGCTTGTAGCACAAGAGATTCGCCCTTTGGTTAGCAGGTGAGAGACCAGCTGTAAGTATACTGCATCTCAGGAGCCATTAAAATGTGAAAATTGGATACTGTCACCAAAAGGAAGAACAATGTCACTTGGACTTGACCTGTGACATATCAGCTTCCTTCCAAACCAATACCTCTGTGCAGGCAGACTACAGTGCGCCTTGCCCCGTGCCACGGGGAACAGGGTCTGAGCGCCGCACCACCACCCAGGCTGCCCGGCTCTTTGAGGGGCTGACTCCCACTGGTGTCAAGAGGCCAAAGCAAAGCACCTCTGGTACCTCCTTTCCGTTGCCATTAAGGGTGGGTGACCACTACAGACTGTGCACCAACTATCAGCTCTGGGCTTACCTGCCTGCCGCAGGAGTGGTCCCTGTCTATTCCAGTGGACTAAAACTCTCTCATAGATGGGTTATTGCCATAGAAAACTACTCATTTTCTAGTAATGTAAACAATACCACTTTGTCTCTTTATGACTTTCGCTGTGAACATCACGTGCAGCAAATACGTCTACGTGTCACTCTGCTTCTGGTGGAAGTCAGGATTGTCGGCCATTCTTGCTGGAACGACAGCTGAGACATCAGAGAAAAGAAACACAGAGCTCTGTTTTCACGGGCTGCGTTAAAAATCCAACCAAAGGAAAACGTCCTTATTTTTCAAAAGCAGATTTCCTTTATCTCAGGAACTGAGTCATAGCTGGAAAAGAAAACAGAAAAAGAAAAAGGTCAGGTACACTTCAACCAGGGATACAGGATGTTACAGACTAAGGAAGAGGGGAACCAACACTTAGGAATGTTTACTGTACACCAGTTCTGACTACGACCTGTAAGGTAAAACTCTCCTATTATCTTTACTTACAAATGTGTGAACGAGAGTTTAAAGAGGTTAAGTAACTCACCCTAAGGTTACTACGGAACTAGGACTGGCACCCAGAATTGCTTTTATCTTTTCGTTTTGGCAATAGATATTAGAACAAAATATCTACTTTCTGACAGACTAATTCTGCCTCTAGGAATGAACTCAACAGCATACTCCTAAGAGAGGGCAAGGACTTGCACACACAGAAGGGAAGTTAGATGACCAGGAGCACGAACTCCAGCGGAGCAAGTCCTGATGCTTGTAGCACAAGAGATTCGCCTTTTCGTTAGCAGGTGAGAGACCAGCTGTAAGTATACTGCATCTCAGGAGCCACTAAAATGTGAAAATTGGATACTGTCACCAAAAGGAAGGACAATGTCACTCAGACTTGTAAATGCTCATTAAGTGAAGGAACCACGATATGAAAGTCCAATGCCCTGGAAGAAAAATGACCGCACTTGTGAGGCAGAGTGCCTGCTTGCTCGCAGGACAGGGAGGAGCCAGATATCATGATCCGTGTTAATTGTGAGACTGGGACTTCCACACAGGAAACGACTCAGTAATGCTTGTAAGGCAGTTTATGTTCAATGCCAAGTACTCTTTAGGCAAATGCAGATAGCAGATTCAAAGCAACACAGGACAGAGAGGACTTCTCACATTCATAAAAATCAGAATGAGGGGTAGAAAGGGGATCTTATGAGATTTTTCTTGTCCAATTTCTCTGATCTACTTACTGGTGAGAAAATAAGAGACGTCAAAAGGTCACACATGTTGACTAAAAATGCGCTAAACTCGTATTGCTGGCCTCGTGCTTTTTTCACACCAGTACTCTGCTGATCCCCAGAGGACATGCAAGACAGAGACCCTGGCTAGCCAAAGAGAAGGCCCAGCAAGCTTAAAAAAAAAACACCCAAATACTGAAAAATATATGTGTATCTAAAAAATGAAAAGCACATGGTAATAAAATCTGAATATACCTCAGATGAAAAGCCTAATTTTATACATCTGCTTTCCAAAATGGTTTCTTTTTCTTTTCTTTTTTTTAATCCAGTGGAACCTCAGTTCTTGGTCTTAATTTGTTCCAGACTGTTCGAGAAGTGATCTGTTCAAAAATCAAATCATTTCCCTCCCATTAGAAATAATGTCAATTAATTCGTTCCAGGCCTCCAAACAATTCCCTGTTTTAACCTTTCTTATATACAGTAAAAGTCTAATGCACTATTTAATCTATAAACAAACACTCCATTTCCTAAATTTATAGCCTTAAAAGATCATTTCCAGCACTCATTTCAAGAGTCTTTCATGATTCAGCAGGTGCTTTCTTCTCTTGCTGTCACTGGCTACCTGCTTTTCATTTATCCAAATCAACAATAATTAAAAAAAAAAAAAAATATATATATATATATATATATTTATTTATTTTTTATTTTTTTATTTTTATTGATTTCATAGAGAAAGGGAGAAGGAGAGCGAGATAGAAACATCAATGATGAGAGAGAATTACTGATCGGCTGCCTCCTGCACACCCCACACTGGGGATAGAGCCTACAACCTGGGCATGTGCCCTGGACTGGAATCGAACCTGAGAACCTTCAGTCTTTAGGTTGATGCTCTATCCTCTGAGTCAAACCAGCTAGGGCTCAACAAAGTTTTTATACGTCTTCATTTGCTTATGATCATTGTTTCCTTCACACCCTTAGCAACTTTAGCACTCTTGATGGCCTCTTTATGTTTTAACTGGAGACTTGGTGCATGAAATTCATGCACTTGGGAGGGGGTGTGTCCCTCAGCCCAGCCTGCACCCTCTCCAATCTGGGACCCCTCGGGGGATTGTCCAACTGTTGATTTAGGCCAGATAGCTGTTGGATTGGGGCTAAACTGACAGTCGGATATCCCTCTCACAATCTGGGACTGCTGGCTCCCAACCGCTTGCCTGCCTCCCTGCCTGATTGCCCCTAACTGCTTCTGTCTGCCAGCCTGGTGACCTCCTAACTACTCCCCTGCAAGCCTGATCAACGCCTAACTGCTCCCCTGCTGGCCCAGTAGCCCCCAACTGCCCTCCCCTGCAGGCACAGTCACTCCCAACTGTCCTCCCCTAAAGGCCTGTTTGCCCCTAACTGCCCTCCCCTGTCAGCCTGTTCACCCCTAACTGCCCTCCCTGCCGGCCATCTGATGCGAGGGCATAATGGTCAATTTGCATATTACCTCTTTATTATATAGGAAATTGTGCTCATTTATCCAGCAACACCAACAACAAAAAACCCACAAAAATATTCACAGCACAATTTCCTAAGATGTTATGGTAAGCTGACTCATATTAGCACATTCTCTCTTTTGTTTGTGGCCTAAGAGACTTTCTGTCTTGCTGCTGTATCAGCCAGAAAGGGTTGTCAGGTAGAAAACCAAGCTCTTTTGATAACTGAGACATTTCCCCCCAACATGAACAACTTGGTTGAGAATGCATTGTTCAAGATGTGAGATGTTCAAAAACGGAGCTTTGACTGTATTTTCATTGATTTCTAGAGAGAGCGATGAAGAGAGATGGAAGAAGAGAGAAACATTGATGTGAGTGAAACAGTGATTGGCTGCCTCCTGCATGCCTCCCATTGGGATGGGGCCCAAAACCTGGGCATGTGCCCAATTGGGAATCCAGCCATCAACCTTTCAGTGCACAGGAAAATACCAACCAACTGAGCCACACCTGCCCGGGTCCAAGATAGTTTCTAAAAGACATTTTCATATTCAAATCATTTGACCATCAACATAATGGAGAATCACAAAAACAACTACATTGCACTTCTTAATACACCTTTATCTTGCTCTCTGCTATTCTAGGTTTGACTGAGCCAATAACATTAAATTATAGACAAAAATTATCAACCTCATGAAGAAAAGAAGAGAGTCTGTAAAACAGAATAGAGCTTTGGCAAGAATCAGCTCAGGAAAAAGAAAAATTAAACCAAGCTTTGCTAACGACAGTTCTTAGAGTGAAACGTTGGCTAGAAAGTTAACAAGGAAAAAGTGGTATAGGACCTAAATCTAAATTCAAGCCCTCCAAACTATTGAGGGTTATATGGGATGTTATTTGAACATATTTAATGATTCTTAATTTTTGGTAATATAAATGATAGAGTTCAATGACTTCACAAAAAATATGATGAGAAATTCTATCACATTAAGTTTTTGTGAATCAACTGAAGTTAGCGAAAGTAACATATCGCTTGAACTGAGGTTGAACTGAGAATGTTTGGCTTGAAGAACAGAGTAGGAGGGACTAAGTGGCTGTCCTCAGTTTCTTAAAGGTTACTTGTGTGGTTCTTGTGGGCAAAGCCAGAACTAGCTGGTGAAGCTATAGAGAAACAGAGTATTTCCTCCTGGCAAGTCAGAATTTCCTAACCAAACCCATTCAATTCCCTCCTTCTTCAAACAGCACTACTAAAGCCCACGCTGATCCAGGGAATGAAAACACTGACAGGAGAGGAAACAACAACAAAGTGCAGAAGCTGGAAGCAAGAGGAGTGCTAATGGAAAAGGGAACAACGCCGAGAAGGAGCCTATTTACACGTGGAGCTCTGCACAGCCTGCGGGTTGGTGTCACTAGTAAGTGGTGTCACTAGTACTTACCATGGTAAAGGGAGTAGGTTGGATACAAACATAGGGGTTTCTTAAAAGCCTGTTTTTAGAAATTAACACTCTACAGCCATTCTACAATTCTGATCAGCCCGAAAAACAACACAAGCAGAATAATCTGAGACTGCTTCTCTGAGCAGATTAAAATTTAGGGTCCTATATTAGATATGACCAAGGACAAGCGTGCTATACTGAAAAGAGAGCGATTGGGGTGGGGGTGAGGGTGAGCTGTAAATAATGAATACTGAGCCTTCTCTAGCTTTTTCCCACTTGGCTCCCAGAACATAACATTGGCAGTCTGATCTCTGTCCTCCAGGCAGGAGACTGGTACAGATTTCTCTGGGGAATATGATCAGTCCAACAATAAAGATCTTAATTCCCGCCGAAACCGGTTTGGCTCAGTGGATAGAGCGTCACTGAAGGGTCCCAGGTTCGATTCTGGTCAAGGGCATGTACCTTGGTTGTAGCACATCCCCGGTAGGGGGTGTGCAGGAGGCGGCTGGTCGATGTTTCTGTCTCATCGATGTTTCTAGCTCTCTATCGCTCTCTCCCTTCCTCTCTGTTAAAAAAACAATTTTTTAAAAAATAATATATAAATAATATATTATATATATATAAATAATATATAAATAATATTTTATATATATAAAATATTATTTATATATTAATTTATAAAAATTAATATATATATATATATATTAATTTTTTTTTTAAAAGAACTTAGTTCCTGAAGGGAACCTGGGTAGTTTAAGTTTCACTTATTAAGAAGCTGCCAAATGGTTTTTCAAAGTAGCTGAAGCATTTTACATTCCCACCAGTTGTGTATTAAAGCTCAAATTACTTTACAACCTTGCAAACACACATTACTGTCAGTCTTTTTAATTTTAGCCATTCTATTGGGTATGTAGCTGTATATCACTGTGACTTTACTTTGCATTTCCCTATTGACTAATGATGTTGAGCTAGTTCTATGCATATGAATATTGGCCATCTGTATATCTGTGTGTAATGTCTGTTCATATCTTTTGATCATTAAAAAAAACATCAGATTGTTGCTCTTCTTAATGAGTTTAAGAGTACTTTATATTATTTTGGATACAATTTCTTTAACAGAAGGATATTTGCCAAATATCTTCTCCCAGTTCATAATTTGTCTTTTCATTTTCTTTCAATGTCTTTTAATGAGTAGTTTTTAGTTTTGATGAAATTCAGATTATCAGTTTTTCTCTTTTATGTTTCATGCTTCGTATGAACTAAGAAACTTTGCTTAACCTAAACCACAAAGATGTTCTCCTGTAAGTTTTATTGTTTTAGTTCTTACATTTAGGTCTGTGATCCATTTGAGGTTGATTTCGTATATGCTATAAGGAACAAAACTCATTTTCTCCTCCAATCTCCATATGTATATCTAGTTGTTTTTATACTATAAACTAAAAAGATAATATTTTCCTCATTGAATTACCGTGGCACATACAGGGCATGAGTAGGCTTGCAGTTGTTGGTATGGAAAATAATTCAATAATTAATAATAGTAATACAAAAATAAACTCTGTTTTGTGCACTCACAACTATAAACCTACTTTTGCCCCACCCTGTTTATAAAAAATCTATTGACTTCATAATTAGGGTCTGCTTCTGCACCCTATTTGTTCAACAATCGTTATGTTTACTCCTATGTAATATCATACTGCCTTGATCATGTAGCTTTACAATACGTGTAAAGCCAAGCAGTGTTAGTCTTACAATTTTGTGCTATTTTTTTTACAACTTTTTTTTTTGTTATTTTAGTTCATTTACATATTCTATAAATATTGTGATGATCCTGTCAATGATTATTAAAAAAAACCTGCCGGAACACTGAATCTATTAGTAATCCTATATAATAAAAGGCTAATATACAAATTGTTCCCTCGGGGGTTCAACCACTTGCTATGATGTGTGCTGACCACCAGGGGGGCGGTGTGTAATGAAGGAAGGCTCTGGTCAGCACATAACAGCCAGGGAAGGGAAGGCCCTGGTCAGCCCTGATCGCCGGCCAGGCTTAAGGACTCTACCTGTGCAAGAATTTCATGCACCAAGCCTCTAGTCTTGAATAATGTAAAACATAGTAACTATCCTATCTAATAAAAGAGTAATATGCAAATTGCTGTCACTCCAAGACACTGTCTACTAAATTTAATGCTATAAGTTTCTAAGAACTGCTCTAGCTGTATCCTCCAAATACTACTTTATTTTAATTCTAATTCAATAAAAATATTTTCCAACTTCTCTTTTAATTTCTTCTTTGACTAATGAGTTACCTTGTCCAAATATTTGGGGATTTTCCACATATCTTTCCATTAAAAAAAATATATATTTTATTGATTTTTTACAGAGAGAAGGGAGAGGGATAGAGAGTTAGAAACATTGATCAGAGAGAAACATCAATCAGCTGCCTCCTGCACAACCCCTGCCCAGTGGGGATGTGCCTGCAACCAAGGTACATGCCCTTGACAGGATTCAAACCTGGGACCTTTGAGTCCGAAGGCTGACGCTTCATTCACTGAGCCAAACCAATCAGGGATATCTTTCCATTTTTTATTTCCTTTTAATTCCTTTATGGTCTGAGAACTGTATGATTTAAATCCTTTAAAATTCATTGAAACTTGTTTTACGAGCCAGAATATGGTATATTTTGGTAAATGTTCCATGTAATTGCCAAAAAGAATATGTGTTCTACTGTTGCTGGATGCACTGTTTTACAAATGTCATTTAGTCTTTGAGGAATTAACCTTTTTATCAGATAAACTAGAGGCCCGATGTACAAATCTGTGCAAGGGGCTCGGGACTCGTGGCCCTGTCCACTGGTTGTTTGGAAGGTCATTCTGCCGTCTGGTCTAATTAGCATTTTAGCTCTATATTAACATAGGATGTCCTTTGTGCATGGTAATATTCCTTATTTTTTTGAAGTTTACTCTGACTTATAGTAACATAGCTATTACAGTTTACTTAAAAAAAAGTTATTGATTTCAGAGAGAGGAAAGGAGAGGGAGAGAGAGAAACATCTATGTGAGAATGGAACATTGATCAGATGCCTCCTGCACACCCTGACAGGAACTGAACCACAACTTGTGCACGTGTCCCTGACTGGGAACCAAACCAACAACCCCTCGGTGCATGGGACAATGCCAATTTACTGAAGCACCTCGGACAGGGTTAGTGGGTTGTTATAGTATAGGTGGACCCTTGAATGATACTGCGGGGCAAGTGGCCACAACTGCTTGTAGCGCTGAAAACCAGCATGTAACTTAAGCCAGCCTTTCACATACATGGATTTCCAACTGCCAACTAACTCTCACTGAACACTACAGGTATTTTTAAAAATATATATTTTATTGATTTTCTTTTTTTTTTACAGAGAGGAAGGGAGGTAGATAGAAACATCGATGAGAGATAAGATCAGCCGCCTCCTGCACACCTCCAACTGGGGATGTGCCTGCAACCAAGGTACATGCCCTTGACCAGAATCAAACCGGGGATCTTTCAGTCCGCAGGCTGATACTCTATCCATTGAGCCAAACCGACTTTGGCAACACAGGTATTTTTTGTTTGTTTGTTTTTTTAAATCCTCACCCAAGGATATTCCTTCATTGATTTTTAGAGAGAGGGAAAAATAGAAATATCGATGTGCGAGAAACACATCAATTGGTTGCCTCCTGCACAAGCCCTGTCCAGAGCCCAGGCGGGAGAGGAGCCTGCAAGCAAGGTTTGAATGGAATCGAACCCAGGACCTTTCGGTTCATAGGCTGATGCTCTATCCACTGAGCAAAACTGGCTAAAGCCAACACAGGTTTTTCAACTGCACGGGAAAACTGAACTGCAGTCAAAGGAAAAAATTTTATTTATAAGTAGACCCTTGCAATTCAAATCATGTTGTTCAGGAATAAACTGTATATAAATGGGTTTTGCCTTATCAACCTGATAATGTCTGTGTTTCAACTAGATTATTTAAATCACTTATGTTTAATGTAATTATTAATATGATTTACTTTAAAACTACCATTTTGCTATTTATTTTCTATTTGTCCCATTGATTCTTTCTTCCTTTTCCTCCATTTTTTTCCTGAGTTCTTTAGTATTCAGTATTTTTTTATGTAGTTTGTTTGCTACAGACTGGGTTTCTCCTGAGTAGGAGTCGAGTTTTTCTGCTTCCGTGTGTGCCGGGGAGTTTTTTGTGTGCCTGGTAATGTTTGATGGGATATCAGACATTGTATTTTTACACTGTTAAGTGCTAAATTTTGTTGTTCATTCTAGGAGGGTTGGCTTTGTTCTGACATGCAGCTGTTACTTACAGAGCAGTGTGATACCCCCAAACACTGCTTGGAAACCTGGTGAAGGTGATTTATTCTGGGGCTAAACGAGCTCAGGCAATAAGGCACGTTTCTGAAGACACTCTCCAATGACTTGTGTATGACAAGATCTGTCCACAATGGTCAGTAGAAATGTCAACTATTGCTACCCACATGTTCCAGGAATTGTTTAGCATGCTAATTTCTGATATTCTCTCCCTGGCCGTGTACATTTTCACCCAAAACATGTACACAACCAAGGCTTGAAGGGACCTCTCTAAATATCTTGGGAGCCTTCTTTCTGTGTAGCTCCTTTTCTGGTACCCTGTTCTCTGACTTCCAGCCACCTTGGCTTGGGCTTTCCAAAATTGTTTATGATTCATCAATTCAGCAAGACTATGAACTCTGTCAGGTATTTCCCCTACCTGCACTTTAGAAATTGCTTCTGAGCAGTGAGCTATGGATCACCTCAATGTTATCCTTCTTTTAAGGATTGTAGCCCTCTACTTCCTGTTGCCCAAATCTGTTTCATTTAGTTTGTCAGTTCTTTAATTGTTTATGATGAAAGGTTAATTTCTGCAGTTATTAATCCTTCAAAGGCAGAAGCAGAGGCTCTTTTATGTCTTTTAAAAAAAAAAATAATACCTGGAATCTAGTGCTTCTCAGTTTTGAACAAGTTATATCAGAAGAGAAATCATCCTTACCTTTGTAGACTTCTCTAATGGTTGATCATATTGCGCCTGCTGCATAACATCACTAACTATCATTTTAGCAATTTTCCAAGCTAGCTCTTCTTGGGCCTAAAAGAAGTAATGGAAACTGTTGATAACAGTTATTCATTAAAAGAATCAAGACATTCATTTCAGTGTTCTAAACACAACTGCATATGCATGTAGTTTCTCCCTGTTTAGATAAGCACACTGCCATGTCTGGACCACCCTCTGGCTATGATAATTAACATGTCTTCCAAAACCAGCCACCGGTACCTAACATCACACTTCATGTTAAATTCTCAAAACAAAACATTTTTTCCTTTTCTACTCCCATCTCTCAATGTACTTTACTATTCAAAAAGGAGGCCTCCATTCCTGAAAGTCAAAATGACAGCAAGAAAGGAAGCTTTTGTGTCTACACTGATTACTGATGCCTGCTGTTTGATAAAAACTTGATTACAAGGTTAATGCCAGTGGCCAGAATCTCTGGGCTGATGATACCTCCATAGCCTCCATCAGGCAATGATTAGTCGTTAAGAGGCCCACCCTTTCTGGGTGAGGGAGTAATAATGTGCCATGCTGGTTCAACATGGCAACTAAAGAAAGAGAAATCTTGAAACCTTGGTTAGACAGGTGCCACTTATAAACAGGAATCCCTTTTCACTAAAAGTAGCATTTACCTCATCAGTATTTCCTTGCACCCATTTCTTCATAGCTTGTGAGAACATGGATCCTAGTAAACAGAGCCAAAGTTGAATGTAAATTTCATGCATAATTTGACATAAAAAATGCTGTTAGTTACAAGCTACTTCCAGACATTGACATTCTTTTTTTTTTTTTGAGGGGTTGGGGTGGATACAATCTCTAAAACATTAAGGAATACTACTACTAACAGAAACTGATTATGATGTCTCCATAACAGAGTATTTAACTGGAAAACATGCTTTGAAAACCTGTTTTCTGAGTTCTGGATTTTTCCTCTATTTGATACAAGAAACTTTCATCTGGTGTTAGATTTGCAGCATATTAAAAGAGCAAAAGCAAACAATGGCTTAGATTTAATTTTGGGTAAGAATCTAGGAGATATAATCTACTTGTTTGTGTAAGCAAACCTTCCCACGCAACTACTTACAAAAGGGCTTCAAGAGTAGATTATGCTGCTACATGCTATATAAATTAGCTGAGTAAGTTGAGTTTTAAAAGTCATCCTCTGTCCAAGTCATAGTACACCTCAGCTTTCTAGTAGACACACAAGCCTATCTCCGACTGTACTCAGATGCCTTGGTGATTTTTCAGCATGTTTAAAAACTCAACCTACCCATCTCATTTACTTTCCATATGAAATCTGTCACCAAATTCTACCTTAAATGCAGTCTCTTAAGTTCCACTTAGAAGTCTTATAAATCTGACCTTCTTTCTAATTCCTGCGACTATCTACCTTCAAATCCTCTTTTTGCCTGTCATCATTATTAGCTAAACCTACTACCTGACTGGTTTCTCTAATACCAGTCTCTCCTCAACTCCAATTCATCCCAATACTACTGCCAGGACAATGCATCTAGTCAATATTCTGCTTAGAAACCCCTGATGCCTATTATGACAGGAATTGGGTTTCTCAGTATGATATACAAGGGCTTTCGCAATATATGGCAGCTTCTTCTCACCACTGCATCCAACCAGCAACTGCCACTCCAGGGACCATGTGTTCACAATATCCTTTACAATTCCTTCTTGATACACTTTCACATTTAAATTTAAATTTATCTTCCTTGCCCCACAAGCAAAGTTCTCATACTCTCAGAAGCCTCTGAGATACACCCTTCTCAAACTCAACCCTTTCCTCTGTGCTCTCTTATCAGCATTTCAAAACCCAAACTGGCTTGGTCAGTGTGGCTCAATGGTTGAGCATCGATCCAGGAACCAAGAGGTCATCAGTTCAATTTCTGTTCTATTCCCGGTCAGGGCACATGCTGGGGTTTGAGGCTTGATATTCAGTAGGGGGCATGCAGGAGGCAGTCATTTATGAATTTCTCTTTCATGAATCGTTCTATCCCTCTCCCATCATCTTTCTAAATAGTCAATTGAAAAATATTAAAAACAAAAAAACAATACTCATATTGAACCTATAGACTGGCAAATAATGAATACACTTTACAACAGCCCTCAGCAAAGGAGAAGGGAGAAGTGGAACTGAACTGCAAACTATTGTCAAATGGAAATACAATCCTGTTGCCAATACCTTCAAATATAACTCAAATTTAGCCATTCTTCCACTACCGAATCCACCACCACGCCTCATGTAGACCAAGAATGTTGCTGCCTTACTTTTCCTCTTAAACTCCTACACTATACTTTCCAAACATCTGTTAAAACCACCCCGTTAGCCCTGACCAGTTTGGCTCAATGACTGGAGCGTTGGCCTTCGACTGAAGGGTCCCAGGTTCAATTCTGGTCAAGGGTATGTACTTTGGTTGTGGGCACATACCCAGTGGGGAGTGTGCAGAAGCGACTGATTGATGTTTCTCTCTCATTGAGGTTTCTAACTCACTATCCCTCTCCCTTCCTCTCTGTAAAAAATCAATAAAATACATTTAAAAATAAAACAAAACAAAACCACCCCTTTAAAACATAAATTGCATCATGGTACTGCCCTGCTCCAACTTGCAATGTGTCGCCTGCACTTTAAAGTCCCGCCCATGGTTTGTGGTAACCCAACCTCATTTGCCTTCTGTCGCCTACCCTTTTCCTCACTCCTCTTCAGACATGGGTCTTGCTCTTCCCTGAGCTCTTAAATGTCAGGGCCCCTATTCTAGTTCCTTCTGCCAAGAACACCCTTCCCTCCAGAAACTGCCAAGGCTTACTGCCCCATTTCACTCGGGTCTCTACTCAAAATGTATCTCCTCAGGGAGACCTCCCCTGACAACCACTGCTATAACAGCACTCCCCGCCACCCTTCCAATCATTTGCTCTGCTTGCATATGCTTCTGTGTAAGTGTATAAACACATGCACATGCCCTGTGTTTATCTACTTACTGTCTCTTCCACTGTAATATAACTCCTGAGGGCAAGAATTTTATTTTCTCCCCAATACCTAGAATGGCAGATGCATATAGCAGGCATTCATATTTTAGAATGAATGAATAAATCAAATGAAGAAACTAAAGGAACAGAATGAGCAGAGATATTATTATGGGGAAACTTGTCTTATATATCTTTACCTACTTATAATATACTTTAATTCAAATAAAACAAACAGCAAACACCTAACACAGATACTCTAGAGCAGTAATACTTCTTCATGAACTGTCAGAGGAATAAGACCAGCTTAAAAAACCCAAAACAGCTCAGAGATTCTATTAATATTAGAGACTCTATTATCCCCGCTGACAGACGCTACTCTACAATGCGGAGCGCTTCCTGGCCAGTACCCCCCAGGTTGTCTAGCACTTCCTCTGCTCCAAGGCCACCAGTACCTTGTCCTAGTATTCATCTTTTACCCAATAAGAGACACTCCAAGACTAAGTTTCTTAATGGCAAGATCTGTATCTCCTAGCCTGCCCCAAGCATATGACTACACAGTGGCACTAAAAATTATTTAATGAATTAACTGTTGTATACTTCCTTTAGTCTTTACATTTTTCCCAATTGTGTAGCTCAGACTTTTCTGGCAATACAAAAAATAAAAATAAATTATTTGGACAAACTAATAAGGTGAAAGAGGTAAAAGTCCCCTTTTTTGGTATATGTTATTTTAATAATTATATTTTTACACTCCATCAATGTATATCTAATCCACAAGGAGATTGTTCATCAAATAAGTGGCATAATTCATTAGTCAAACAACCGTTGCATTAAAAAATAAGATAAACATAATAGGGATGCAGTCCTATTAAATTCAATAGGAAAATTAGTAACAGCTCTTAATTTTAAACATACATCAAAATGGAGCATTTTTTTCTTATAAAAGTCAGTATCTTTTACTCAAGACAATTCAGTCAGTCCAATTACACCGAACAATTATTCAAAAAGGATGAGTGTTGTCCTTCTGGTTTAGCTCAGTGGATAGAGCATCAACCCATGGACTGAGGGGTATCAGGTTTGATTCTAGTCAAGGGCACATCCCTCTGTTGTAGGCTCAAGATCCCCAGCCCTGATTGAGGGTGCATGCAGGAAACAACCAATCAATATGTCTCTCTCACATAATGTTTCACTCTGTCTCTCCCTCTCCCTTCCACTCTCTAAAAATCAATGGAAAAATATTCTTGGGTGAAGAATAACAACAACAAAAAAGGATTTGCATTTGACTCTTAGAATTGATCAAGCACTCTTCTGCCAATTAAACAAAGAATCTGAATTTCATCTATTAATATTTCCCACCTGTATTTCATAATAACTTTCACAAATTGGAGAAAATTTAACAAGATAAAGGACCCCAAGAAAATCTCAAGTCCAATCTAGATTGGGTATTTCATCATTAGATAAAAAAGTGCTACGTATTTTTTTCATAGATATCTTCTGAATGGCAAAGCAAGTTCAATAACTGATTCAGAGAGAGAGAGAGAGAGAGAGACTATATAGAACTGTGATTACATGAAATCCTTGTATTCACTTATGACTATAAATAGCAAGGTGAAATATATGGCAATTATTTCACAAAATAAACAGTTTAAATCTTAAAGGATCCTTCACTTACAGTCAATGACTAATGTGAGTAAAGGCTTAGTATTAAGTATAAGAACAGCACAGACCTTTTGATTTCTTCACATCAGGTTCAGGCTCAGATTCCCGGATGAACTGCCCCACATCACTGACTCTTCCAAACGTCATCTTCCTATGTAAGCATGAGAAGAATGTAATTTCTAACAATTAACTTTAAATTAAAAAGAAAAAAAACCAATTTTAAGTATCTCATGTTATTCAAAGTGAGGCTTATTTTAAATAGAAAGCAAAATTAATTCAACGCAATTCTATTCAAAATCCTAAAAGATTTATGAAATATGCCAAGTTAACAGGTAATTCACATTTCTAAAATTCAAAGAGAAAAAACACAAGAATAGCCAAGGTAACTTTGTAAAAAAAAAAAAAAAGAGATAAAAAAGCAGGACAAAATGTCTTATTAAACTAGAATAACATATAATTACTAGTATATAGTATGCTATAAAACTATAGTAAAAATGCAAAGTTAAAAGGCAAAGAACACAGTAAAAGGTCTTATTTTTAAGAGATACTACTAACCAATATTTAATATTCATAAACATACAGAATTCCAACAAGTTATTTTGAAATCACCCAACAGCCCAGCTGGTGTGGCTCGATGGTTGAGCATCTACTGTGGTTTGATTCCTGGTAGGGCTAGGTTGTGGGCTAGATCCCCAGTATGGGGCGAGCAGGAGGCAGCTGATCAATGATTCTCTCTCATCATTGATGTTTCTATCTTTCTCTCCCTCTTCTGTCCTTTCTGAAATCAATAAAATATATATTTCAAAAAAGTCACCCAAAAGAAAAGTGTGAAAATGAGATAAAGAGTCAATGCACAGAAGAAACACCTCAACAACCAACAAACATGCCAAAAGCAGCTTTATCTCATGAGCAATAATACAAGACTGGTAAAAAAAAAAATAATGTAAAATTTGATATTTAGCGTTGACAAGGATGTGGGAAAAATTAGTACCTTTATTAATGACTGATAAGAATGTAAAATGTGCCGAAACCAGTTTGACTCAGTGGATAGAGCATCTGCCTGCGGACTGAAAGGTCCCAGGTTCGATTCCGGTTGGGGGTATGTACCTTGGTTGCGGGCACATACCCAGTAGGGAGAGTGCAGGAGGCAGCTGATCGATGTCTCTCTCTCATCTATGTTTCTAACTCTCTATCCCTCTCCCTTCCTCTCTGTAAAAAAATCAATAAAATATATTAAAAAAAAGAAAAAGAATGTAAAATGTACAGGTACTTTTAATGGTAAATTAGTAAAATTTCAAATCTGCTTTTTGGTATAAGGAAGTATATAAAAGGAAGTGCTTTGCTATACTGGGTGTAAAAATGAAAAATAAAAAGAATTGAAACACTCAATATCAAAATGATCAAATAGTGGCACAACACATTATGTGGAATATTTTGTCAGAGTTATAAGTTATAATTAAAATTACATATAGAAACTATGACACAGTTAAAATGAGGTAAATCTATATAGACTAACAGAAAAATCTACAAAACTCACTACGAATGAAAGCACAAGATACTTACAGGGTAACGTTAACCACGTAAAAATAAGCAAACAGAAAATACACTATAATAATGAGTAGAAAATAAGAATAGGTGTGTGATCAAAGAGACATAAGCCTTATCTACAAATTAATTTTTATAAGACATTAGAGGCTCGATGCATAAAATTTATGCAAGAGAAGGCCTTCTTAGCAATGGCAGCTGCCTGGATCCCTCCCTTGCAGCATCCTCAGCTGCCTCCATTCTGCAGCTACAGCCCTGGCTTGTCCGGAAGATCGTCCACTCTAATTAGCATATTATACTTTTATTACTACAGATTAATATATTTGTACTTATAAGTTAATTAAAAGAAGAAAAACAGATTTTATGATGTCTCTATATTATCTCCTTTCAGGCAAAGTGAGTCTTATTTTAGAGAAAGCCTTCCTAATAAGTCATCACTTCATTTAAGCTTCACTATCCCAACTGCTACAATTTGTTTGCTTTGATAGAAATTTCAGGAAGATGCTAAAATCACAAAATTAAAACAAACATTGGAAACTAACTTTAAAGATGGGAGAAAAATTATCTCTATTTATGACCCACTTTATAAATTAGAAAAAAAGAGAACTCATGGGCATGGACAACAGTGAACAGTGTGGTGATTGCAGGGGTGGGAAATGGAGGTGAAAGAGGGCGCAGAGGGGATAAATGGTGATGGAAAAGAACAAAAGTTAGCCGAAACCGGTTTGGCTCAGTGGATAGAGCGTTGGCCTTTGGACTAAAAGGTCCCGGGTTTGATTCCGGTTAAGGGCAAGTACCTTGGTTGTGGGCACATCCCTGATAGGGGGTGTGCAGGAGGCAGCTGATCGATGATTCTCTCTCATCGATGTTTCTATCTCTCTATCCCTCTCTCTTCCTCTCTGTAAAAATTTAATAAAATATATTAAAAAAAAGAAAAGTTAAAAATAAAATAAAATTCACAAAAAATTGTATTTACACACAAAAACATCTATGAAAGTAAAACATTGCAATTGATACTTTCTTAAGCAAGATTTTAAACAAATGAGCCAATCATTCCTTAAGAATAAATATCTTTGGAAATTAATCTACATTTACTGTCCACCATTTCCTAAAAGAAACAAAGCTCACCACAATGCGACACAGCTGAGGTGTGCTTTCCAAAAACAAGGTGATCCAAGGACCTTCATTTACCTCAAGTACCTGTACCGTTTAGACTCCTTTTCCCAATTCTCATGTTACTTTCAGAGAAAAACAACTAAGCATGTTGAAATCCCTTTTACATAGCCCTGCTAGGCCTGGGGCTGCGGTGGAGTCATTAGCCTTTACACAGGCCTATGTGTGAATCAAGCCATCTTTAGGGAAGAGGAATGATTTTAAGATTTGAACTGTGGTAAAGTGTAATAAGTGGCATATCCTATGAATCACTATCTTTTTGTTGTAGAATGAAATAAACAAGTTATTTTTAAAATACAAAGGAACAATTTTATTCCATTTCCCAAGTATTGTTATACAGTCCATATAGAAGATATTGGCATCTTTGTACTGTATTTTTCTTTTTGCTTTTAAGACAGGGACTTTGAAATTGATAACATATGAATCAAATGAAATATAAATGAGATAGCACAAAACATACCACACAAACATGACACTTCATCAATATTGTCTACAGTGATGGAATAATGATGTAATATTTGTGGAGTGCTTATTGATACCAGACCATGTGCTAAATTCTTTTATGTGTGACCTCATTTATTACCCTCAACAACCCAATGAAATAGTAATATTATCCTCACTTTATAGTTGAAAAACTGCGACACAAAGAGATGAAGTAGTTTGCCAATAAGTGGCTGAGACAAGACTAAAATCCAGGAAGTCATTCCTAAGTCTTCACTCTATCCATGTTCTACTGCATATTATATGTAAACCTTTTGTGTGCATAATAATAGATTAAAATAGTTTAGGTTAAAATGAAAAAAAGATGCAAAATTTAATATACTTGATAAAATTCTAGACATGTGCCAAGCTTACCCTGCATATGTCCGTTGATATAAAGTTTCTGGATCCAGACTTGCAGCATCCACAATTATTGCTTCATCAAAATTTTTCAGAATTTTAACACTAGCTTTTTTCAAACTGGACTACAACAGAAATTGTAAAATTAGTGGTATATTATTTAGGAATCAAATAACTCCTGGGTTTGGAACATGACAGATTTGTACAAATCTTCAGTGTTTGAAATACATGTAATTTTTACTTAACCCATCATTACTGTGATAAAACAGCAATGATTTTGAAATGTAACATCAACATTTAACTACAGGGGGAAAGCACAATATTAAAATGCACACTATATGCACTCAGATGCCAAATGTTTTTCTCAAGTTCCCACAAATGTGCTGCCTTCCAGCATTTCGTTCCCATTTGTGCAGAACTCCCATTCACCCATACATATGCATCCTGTCTAATACATGTGACGCCCAACTTTTACAAGATAAACTTTTGATTCTCAGTGAGGCCATGTGATAGAAGAGAAGCTCAAGTTAACTTTCTAAATTAACCAGTTAAGTAAGTGTAAAAAGTTCCCCTTCACCATTCTATGTCCCCATTCCTCATTCCCATATAAAAAGGAAGTCAAAATTGATAGATCTATGAATTACAGAGCCATGGTTTGACCCAGAAATTCCACTTCTAAAAATTCAATTTCAGATGCTCATGCAAAATGACTTATATACAAGATTGTTCACTGCAGCGTTATTTAAAATAACAAAAGACAGAAACATGCCTAACATCCACAACTAAGGAATAGATCAAATTAATAAGATAAATAATTGAATAGATACTTATAAACATTCTTTGAGGTTGAAGATGAGGAAAGAGCTCTTTTTGTAGCCAAAAGGGCACAGAATTAAAAAGAAAAGAGCCCCAGCCGGTTTGGCTCAGTGGATAGAACGGTGGCCCTTGGACTGAACAGGTCCTAGGTTTGATTCCAGTCAAGGGCATGTACTTTGGTTACAGGTTTCCCAGCTCTGGTTGGGGTACATGCAGGAGGCAACCAATTGATGTGTCTCTCTCACATTGATACTTCTGTCTCCCCTCTCCCTAAAAATCAATGAAAAAATATCCTGGGATGAGGATTTACAGCAACAACAAAAAAATAAGAAAAGAGGCTTCAGCCGAACCTGGTTTGGCTCAGTGGATAGAGTGTCGGCCTGCGGATTGGGGGAAGGGGGGTTCCAGGTTCGATTCCGGTCAAGGGCATGTACCTTGATTGCAGGCACATCCCCAGTGGGGGGTGTGCAGGAGGCAGTTGATCCATGTTTCTCTCTGATCGATATTTCTAACTATCTCTCTCCCTTCATCTCTATAAAAAATCAATAAAATATGTTAAGAAAAGAAAAAAAGAAAAGAGGCTTCAGAATAAAGGAGAGGGAATACTTGTTACCCTTGAAACCATTGTTACCCAGATTCCCAAACCAGGCCAATCTCTGGATTGTAGACCCAAAATCCTCATTAAAATACTAGCAAACTAATCTAGAAACATACGGAAATAATTATATACCACAACCAAGTGGGACTTATCCCAGGAATGCAAGCTTGGTTTAATAACTGATAGTCAATTAATGTTTCAAGAGTAAAAACCAAAAGCCTGCATAATCATGTCAGCTAATACAGAAAGAGCATTTCACAAACCCAACACACCTTCTCCCCCCACTTTTTTAAATCTTCACTTGTGGCCTTAGCTTAGTTGGCTCAGTGGATAGAGCATCGGTCAGTGGACTGAAGGTTCGATTCCGGTCAAGGCACATGCTGAGCTGTGGACTCATTTCCAGTAGGGGGCTTGCAGGAGGCAACCGATAAATGATTCTCTCTCTTCATTGATGTTTCTATCTCTCTTTCCCTCTCCCTTCCTCCCTGAAATCAATAAAAAATATATATATTTAAAAAAAAATCTTCACCCGAGGATATTTTTCCATTGATTTTTTTTGAGAGAGTGGAAGGGAGGGGACAAGACAGAGACAGAGAAATATCAATGTGAGAGAGACACATTGATTGGATGCCTCCTGCACATACTCAAATAGGGCCGGGATCAAACCTACACCAAGGTATGAGTCTTTGACCAGAATTAAACCTGAGTCCCTTCATTCTGTGGGCCAACGCTCTATCCACTGAATCAAACTGTCTAGGGCTTAACATACTTTCTAGATAAAACAACATTCAGCAAAGTAGGAATACTAGAGAACTTCCTTAACTTCATAAAAAACATTTATTTATGAAAAACACACTCTGAACATCTTACTAATAAAAAACTAAAAGCTCTCCCCCTGGAAGTTCTAGCTAGAACAATTAGGCAAGAAAAGGAAATAATAGGCACCCGAAATGGATAGAAAGAATACTTTCTATTCACAAATAAAGTGATCTTATATGCAGAAAACCCTAAATAATCCACAAGAAAACTATTAGAGCTAACATCAATTTAGTAAAGTTGAAGGTAGATGACAAACAAAAAAGTTATAGTTCTATGTATTATCAATGATGAATAAAAAAAAATGAGATTAGCCTGGCTGGTGTGGCTCAATGGTCTTTAAAGTGCCTGAAAGCCCAAACAGTCCATCCAATCTGTACGAAAAACAAAGTGGCAACCACATGCAGCAGGTTAGCTCCAAGGTAATCTTGAGAGCAGGGAAATGTACAAGGAGAGGCTGTTGATAGCAATAAAATAGTTCTGTTTTATAAATTAAGAAAATTTGTCTAAGGCCCCGTGTCAAAAATTCAAAGTATTATTTGTCAAAAGAGATGAAAAAATAATTACAATATATTAATATTATTAAACTTGTGGTGAAAAATACTAGACAGGAAATATATTTCTGGTTCTCCCACTTGCTGTTTGACTTCAATAAAAGCAGTTAACTTCTTTTTTTTTAATTTTATATTTCATTGATTTTTTTATACAGAGAGGAAGGGAGAGGGATAGAGAACTAGAAACATCGATGAGAGAGAATCATCGACCAGCTGCCTCCTGCACACCTCCCACTGGGGATGTGCCCACAACCAAGGTACATGCCCTTGACTGGAATCGAACCCGGGACCTTTCAATCTGCAGACCAATGCTCTATACACTGAGCCAAACCGGTTCTGGTAGCAGTTAACTTCTTAATACCTCTTTAGGTCTCTTCTCTTGAGGATAACCCACTTCCTGGGGAGAGTCAAGTAAGGTCTGATATACGAGAGCACTCCAAAACCAAACCAAAGATTAGGAAATATACAACAGCACTATAATTCAAATGAAATCAAAAGCTATTCAGTGAAATACAACCATAAGAAATCTAATAGTTCACTCAATTATTCTATAAAATGCATCCCAAACAATTGCATAAAGAGCTCTTCAGAGGCTATAAATGTGTATTATATTTTGTGATTATTGAAAGGAACATCTAGTGTCAAGCAGGAAAATGGCCTGAGTGAAACAGCATGATACCTTACAATATATACAAATACTTTGATTAGAATTTATAGTAAGGAGGCTAATTTTATTTCACCTTTGTTTCTTCAACAACTTAAAACTTACGAAGGCACCTGTCACTGTGTTTAAAGGAAAGGATGCACACCTTTCTTTTCTAACGGCAGAGGCAATGGTGAGTACCTGAGATGCTGAGCTGTCAGGACCGCCCTGGTGAGAGTCGTCAGGAGCACTGGCAGAGCCATGAGCGGTCAGTGAGACATTCCCTCCCAGAAATTCATCCCCTCGAACCGAATGAATGAGATCATTCAAATATTTATAATACAGGTTGCTGGACAGAAAGCCAGGCAAAAACACCTGAAAGAGAGGACAAGCATTATTTTAAATGCTGAAATCAAATACAACTAAAATTCTATTTTTAAAACAAAACTTTACAAATGATTTTACTTCTCCTTTTATACACTGTAACTAAAATTACAACATGTATAATTTATATTTTTTTCCGCAAAAAAACAAACAAAACACTTTACTATGAAACTATTACATAGAATATTTAGATTTCTGGTGACCAGAAAATTGTCTAGGGAGTGGATATATATTGAAACAACATTTTTCTGGTTTGTTATAAATATTAAAATCTTTGTGCATAGATATTGATTTTTATTTTTGAACTGATTTCCTTATGATAAATTACTAGGAGTGTGATTACTAAACAGTATATGGGCAATTTACCCTTCAGAAGGATATTGTTAATTTGCTCTGCTAGCAATATATCAAGGTATCTGTTTTTTTTTTCTTCAAAAAACTGATTTTAAATTAAAAAAAGAAAGAAAGAAAGAAAAACAGATAGAGGAAGGAAGAGAAAGAGAAACACTGATGTGGGGGAGAAATGATGATCGGCTGCTTCCCACAAGCATCCCTACTGGGGATCAAACTCAAAACCTGGGCACGTGACCTGACCGGAATCAAACCAGAATACTTTCAATGCATAGGATGATGCTCAACCAGCTCAGCCACCTGGCCAGGGTAAGGTATCTGTTTTGACACAGGCTTTCAAACACCAGGTTGTGTTTTTTTTTTTTTTTCTTCTTGTTTTTTTTAACCTTTAATTTATCTTTAATCCTCACTTGAGGATATTTTTCCATTGATTTTCAAAGAGAGAGGGAAAGACGGATAGAAACATCAATGTGAGAAAAATAGGGCTCAGGCCGGGGAGGAGCCTGCAACCAAGGTATATGCCTTTCACCAGAATCTAACCTGGCACCCTTCAGTCCACAGGCTGATACTCTACCCACTGAACCAAACTGGCTAGAGCCAGGTTGTGTTTTTTAAATTATCTATACTAATAAAAAGAGTAATATGCTAATTAGATTGGGAGACCTTCTGGACAAAGTCATGGTGGCAGGGCCGAGGCAGAGGCAGTTAGGGTGAGAAGGCTGGAGGGGGAGAGTCTAAGTTGGGGGCGAGCAGGCTGGTGGGGGGTGGGGGCTGGTGGGGGTAATCAGTCCGGCAGAGGTGGGCAGTTAGGGGTGATCAGGCCAGAAAGCAGGGGCACAGTTGGGGTTGATCAGGCCAGCATGCAGAGTGGTTAGAGGTGATCAGGCAGGCAGGCAGGTGAGTGGTTAGGAGCCAGCGATCCCAGATTTCGAGAGGATGCAGGCTAGGCTGAGGGACATTCCCCTCACTCCCTTTGCACAAATTTTGTGCACCAGGCCATTAGTTGTTAAATAAATGTCTAATAACTATGGTTGTTTTTATTTGCATTTAAAAATTATGAAAGATAGCCCTAACCAGTTTGGCTCAGTGGATAGAGCGTCGGCCTGTGGAGTGAAGGGTCCCAGGTTCAATTCTGGTCAAGGGCATGTACCTTGGTTGTGGGCACATACCCAATAGGGAGTATGCAGGAGGCAGCTGATCATGTTCCTTTCTCTAACTCTCTATCCCTCTCTCTTCCTCCCTATAAAAAAAAAAAAATCAATAAATATATCTTTTAAAAAATTATGAAAGATGCTGAATAAGTTCCCATGTTTATTACTGGCAGTTGCTATTACCAACTTTTCCTGCACAGCACTTAGCACAGTTGTAAGCATTTATGTCTGTGTGTAGTTGTGCCTTTTCTTAGACAGAGCCCTGGGAGGGCAGAAACCATGTTTCTTTTGTCTACCACTCTAACACCAACAGCCAGCACAGAACGACACAAAGCACTGGCGAATGAATCACCTCTGCCTTTTTCCATTATCTACTTGATTCATTAAATTAGTTTAAGTTCTTTACATACACATACATATTTAGTAAGAAATATTTTTAGATTTTGTTTTTCTCTTTTTAAAAAATGTAATACATACCTTACTCAGTAAAGCAATGAAAAACTACAATTGACATTAAAAAAATACAGATCTGAAACGTTTTCTTTAAGATCAGAAAGATTATAATTTTAAACATGAAAATATTATTTTCCCAGAGCAATAGCTGATACTCTAATTCAGTTTATCACTAGCTTTTCAATGATTTGATTTTTATACTGAACTCTTTCCTATCCTGGAATTTCCTTGTTCCGTGGGTGCTATGTTACAGTGCGTACTTAACCCTTCCCACCTAGTTACACATGACACACGCAGCAACCTAACTTCATGGGCTTCCTCTGGGCTCTGCAATTCCTGGTAAAAGCTGCTCTGGTTATTGGAAGAATAAATCATTCACAAATTCTAATAGTTCACTGTTAATAAGCTAATAGTAATACTCTAATTAGTGATCATGATACTACACAAAACTAATGCTCCAACCCTGTTGAGGGATATTGGTGAAATATCTGGATCATTCCTAAGAGAACTTTGCCCAATACTGATATCTAATTAATAAGTATTCATATACACCTTACCTTGTTTTTATCCGCAACATAACTATTTCTATTACCCATAACATTCCCATTTCACAGACGAGGCAAGGATTCAAAGAACTTCATTAACTGCCTGAAGCTACTCAGCCCATAAAGATTAAGATTAATACATACCGAATCAGATGCAAAGACTGCTCTTACTCACTACGCTGCACTACTTCAATTTTCCACTGTCCTGTTGCATATCGTTTCCCCATGCTCTTTTCTGGGTTCCGACAGTAAAAACTTTGTATAGGTTAATACTTTGGATATTCTTGGTTACCTTCTCCATGGTTGTCCAGGCCTGACGTAATGGAGTTGTAAAACAGTTGGGGAGTGGCCCACCTTCCCTGCAGATATTAGATTCAATTTCTAATCTTACAATATCATCAAATCCAAGAGGATGTGTGGCCTGCAGGGAGAAGTACCTATGATAGAAAGACAGCCAAAGTAAAACCAAAGCAAATACAAGCAACTTCTGATCCCTACACCAGAGAATCTTCCGAAGGTACTTGATTCAGCCTGCAGACTTGGAACTGTCATGGCCTTGCTGTGACTGTTACTCCCATTCCCCAAAGATATCTGAGTCAACTTGCTACCTCCCTATCTGCCTCCCAACCTACTTGGTTCTTGTTTAAGATTTTCAAGAGTCAGCAGAAACCAGTTTGGCTCAGTGGTAGAGCGTCGGTCTGTGGACTGAAAGGTCCCAGGTTTGATTCCGGTCAAGGGCATGTACCTTGGTTGCAGGCACATCCCTGGTAGGGGGTGTGCAAGAGGCAGCTGGCTGATGTTTCTCTCTCATCGATGTTTCTAGCTCTCTATCCCTCTCCCTTTCTCTCTTTAAATTATCAATAAAATATATTAAAATTAAAAAAAAAAGATTTTCAAGAGCCAGGCTACAACTGAGACAAATAAATCAATCAATCACACATCCTATATATAATAAAGAGATAATACGCAAATTGACCATCACTCCAAAAGACAAGGTGGCCGTCCCCATGTGGACACAAGATGGCTGGCAGGGGAGGGCAGTTAGGGGTGACCAGGCTAGCAGGGCAGGGCAATTAGGGGCAACTGGGCCAGCAGAGGAGCAAGTTAGGTGTCAATCAAGCTAGCAGGGGAGTGATTAGGGGGAGATCAGGCTAGCAGGCAGATGAGTGGTTTGGGAGCCATCAGTCCTGGATTGTGAGAGGGATCCCAGATTCGAGAGGGTGCAGGCTGGGCTGAGGGACACATATACACCTCCCTCCTAACCCTGTGCACAAATTTTGTGCACCAGGTATTTAATAGGAACCTATGTTCTGTTCAGCACTTCACAGAAAGAAATGGATTAAAAGAGGTTAAGACTCTGTTATTTCTTCTAAAAACAGAGCAGAAAAAAATCCCTGCACAGGATTTAATGAGAGCACACCATGGTAACTAGGAGGCATCCGTAATTTACATGTAGGAATTCAAACAAAATAGTACTGAGGGTAAAGTGGATGTATTTGATATATTATATTTGGATGAATAACAGGACTGCTGATGATTTGGTATATAAGGAAAAGTAGTAATCAATAGTCTCAAATATATTTTTTTAAATCTTCCTCTGAGAATATTTTTTCCCACTGATTTTTGAACATGGTGGAAGGGATGAGGGAATGGGGGGGGGGGGGAGAAACATAGATGAGAGAAACACACTGGCTGCCTCCTCAGGTGCCCCAAGTGAGGCCAGGGATTGAACCTTTTGGTCTAAGGACTGACACTCTATCCACTGAGCAACCAGCCAGGGCTCAAAGATTAAAAAAAAAAAAAAAAAAAAAAATCCTCACCTGAGAATATTTTTTCCATTGATATTTAGAGAGTGGAAGGGAGAGGGAGAGACAGAGAGAGACACTGATGTGAGAGAGACACATCAATTGGCTGCCACCTTTATGCCCCCAACCAGGGCCAGGAACCTCCAACTGAGATACATGCTCTTGACTGGAATTGAACCTGGGACCCTTCAGTCTACAGGCTAACGCTCTACCCACTGAGCAAATCTGGCTAGAGCTAAAGCCTTTTTAAAAATCCTCACCCAAGGATATGTTTTTATTGATTTTCAGAGTGAAAGAAAGGAGGGGTGTGTGTGAGAGAGAAACACCAATCTGCTGCCTCTCACACATGCCTTGATTGGGGATGGAACCTGCAACCTAGGCATGTGCCCTGACCAGGAATCGAACCCTCAACTTCTGGATGTACGGACGATGCTCCAACCAACTGAGCCAATGACTCAAAGATTGTTAACAGAATATAAGGCAGCTGGTGTTTTGTAAGCCAAATATAAAGTGGACACTAAATAAAAGCATTAAAGGAGAAAGACATATATAGGGTATCCCAAAAGAACGTATACACACACTCTGAGTAATTATAAAGATAGTGTTTATTAAAATAAATTTCATTTGCAGAATTGAGTACTAGCTGTTCAAGTGAGTACACTTTTTTGGGGGACACCTTGTTATATTCCCAAGCATTCTAGAGATGTCTAACTCCTGTCTATAATACAAACACAGAAAGACTGGTGAGGCATGAATATGAAGATGCATAAATAAGATGTAAACCAAATAAAGCCAAATTTGGCACAGCTCGCCAAAACGACAGTACAGCGGTAACCTTCATTTAGAAATGGCTCCTGAAGTGAGCATGGGATCCAGTGGGAAAACAGGGGCTCTGCTCCAGGTGGGACTGATGTCAGCCAGTGCTTGCTAGTGCACTCTCCTGCTCCAGCATACAGAAAACGCTTTTTTGTCATCAGTGTTTTCTTAACAAAAAGCGAGTCTTCCATCTTATAACAAGTTCATAAATATTCCTCCATGATTTGAATTTTGGGGGACCCCAGACTGAATTTCTAAATGTAACACCTGCTGTTTCTATGACCATATAACAGTTTCCTACATAATATTTTCCACAAATATACTAAAATAACACTGCACAAGCACAAAGCATTGCATTCCAGGCCAAGTGCAGCCAATAACTTAACCCTGTGACTTTGAGAAAGTCACTACCCCTGGACCTTAACTTTCTTATCTGCAAAATAGGAAAATCAGTCTTTTTTTTTTTTAATGAATATTTTATTGATTTTTTTACAGAGAGGAAGAGAGATAGTTAGAAATATCAATGAGAGAAACATCGATCAGCTGCCTCCTGCACACCCCCTACTGGGGATGTGCCTGCAATCAAGGTACATGCCCTTGACCGGAATCGAACCTGGGACCTTTCAGTCCGCAGACCGACGCTCTATCCACTGAGCCAAATCGGTTTCGGCAGGAAAATCAGTCTTGATCCTTAATTAGGCTATTCATCAGAGTCATCTGGGGTATTTTCTAAAACTAAAGGTTCCTAGGTCACACCTCAAACCTGCCGAGTCGGTATCTCAGAGAGGACTAGAAACCTATCTTTAATCAGCTGCTGGGCTAGATGCTCTTTAATATTCCTATGGATCTAGATGCTCTTAGCTCCTTCCAACCCTAGCATCCATGGATTCTTCTCTACTCTCAAGTTATCCTTAGCACTTGCTTCTGGATACAAATAACATATTACTTTTCTTTACAAAATAAGAAAAGTGCAGGGAAGCTGGCTACAGCTTTATCACTCGCCTGAGGTTTTCAATTCTGTGCACTGTAGGATTGTGCCTCCCTATGCTTTTCAGTGAAGACTAATGAAGAACTATTATTCATTAAATAGTTAAACTGGCCAAGCAGATTTGCACCAAAAATTATGATACATCCATACACAGATATATAGGACCCTTTACAATATATTCTAACTGCATCTTTAATAATCCTTACCCAAGCTCCATTACCAAACTTGTTTCTTGAAAGTGCTACATTCTGCAGATTTCCATGTCTTTGCTTGCCCAGGATGTTCCTGTCTGCCTTCTCTGGCTAGCAAAGTTCAATGCATTCTTCAGAGCCCATTTTAGATCTTTCTCCATGGAACCCTCCCTGAACTACACACCACTGTCCTGCCTGCCTCACACAAACCCCCCCTCTTCTCTAGCAGAAAGTTTTATGCCAAGAACCTCCAAAACTTTACACACACCACATGAAAAGCAGTTTGTATGCTGCTGCCTGTGAGTTCCTTGAAGTGGAAATTGAGTTTAAGCATCTTTATTTCTAAGTGTATATCAAATCCTCAGTAAATAAAACTCACTTGTCATATAAAATCATGGCATCGTTTTGTGCCTCCTGTCCATCATACTGGCCCTTCTTGGCAGCAAGCTGAGACTGGAAGTTATCTGCTGCCAACCAGAACTGCAAGACATTCACTGCATCTTCTTTTTCCATGTACTAGGAAGGAAAAATACAAAAGAGGGAAATGAGACTATAAACAGATTTCACTTACCATCCCTAATTTATAAGCCCTAACTCTTACTGTATAGGATATAAGTAACAAACAAACAAAAAAACCTTACAGGTACATTTGTTCATTTAATGCCAGTCAGCAACGTAGAGCCATTTGAGATAGAAAAATTTAAAAACATTCTTTTAGAGGGGGTAAAAAATCAAAAAACTTAACAAAAACACAACTAGTACACAGCTGGATGCAATGTTAGTGAACCGGAGTAAAAATTACAGTAAGGTGCAATAGTGGTTCCTCCCTGGCAAACATGCAAAGACTAAAGTAACCAGACCAAATTTTTTATACTTGATCATTTCTATCACTCCGTGCAGCCATATTAACCTGAATAAATGCTGACTTAGCCGTAGCTGGTGGTGCTCAGTGGTCAGAGCACTGGTTCTTGCACCAGAGGGTCACAAATACAATTCCCGGTCAAGGGAATCCACCGGGTTACAGGTTCTACAGGTTCGATTCCTGGCCCACAGGAGGGGTGTGTGTGTGTGTGCGTGAAGGAGGTAACCAATTGATGTGTTTCTCTCAAATGGATTTTGCTGTCCCTCCTTCTCTCTCTCCTTTCCCATTCCTTTCCACTCTCTCTAAAAATCAATGAATAAAATATCCTCAAGTGAGGAATAACAAAACTAATGCTCACTTAAACTGTGGCAAACAGAGGGAGAGGAGTGGAAACTAAATCATTCTTGTGAAGAGACAAGATAGGATGCAAGTGTGTATTTCAGTTTCTGCTTTGTGAGACTGGGGATCCTCTTATCTTGTGCTGTGCAACAAAATATTACATTTTCTGAAGCCTACAAATACAATTACACTAAAATGTACGCCTCAAAGACATTAATACATTCACAGCCTTTTGCAAATGCTTTCCTGGACAATCCTATGAAGTGGCTAAAGCAAAAGTAATGACAGCAGGAAAAAAATTATGACTTTTCTTTCTTCTGAAGTCTGATCTGAAAATATTTGCACACTGGGGTCAAGTATCAAACTCTGTGATTTTAAAACAACTCCAAATAATTTAAAGTAAACATTCTCTTAATTCAATTTTTCCAAATTAGAGTTAGTTTACATTGCATTTTCATGGTCTCTCTTTAATCTGACTGATATGTCATTAAAGCTCTCTTGCCACCACATATGCCTTAAAACGATAATACAATTATTTAAATCCAGCTCTGCTATTTTCTATACACAGGGCCCCAGCATTTAAAGTTTAGAGGCTGAACTGCTCTAACAGAGTAGGAGAGGAAACGCGGACTTTACCTCAGAGAAATAAAAGAGGGCTGACTCACAGAAGAGAATGTCAGCCAGGTAAACAGTTCCACTGGTCAGCACTTCAATCTGGTATTTACAGAAATGGTGACTTCGCAGAAACTCACTAAAGTGCCTGCACATGGACAAAAAGGAACACTTGAGGGAACGACCGAGGGAAAGAACTTAATAGGGAAAAATACTCTCGTTCCACATTGGGCCTGCTTTATCCTAAGAACCTAGGTCAGCACTACCTCCTTCCTGACTCCCCCGCTTCTGATGGCCTCTGTAGCTCCCCTCTGATACTCAGCACACGTGTAACTAAAGAACATTCCCTATTTCTCCTATTGAGCTGTAACTTCCTTGCACAAAGTACCATTTTCACAAATGCTAAATAAATATATAGGTTTTCTTTAAGAGTATGAAGCAGTAATTAATAAAAAAAAAACACCTTTGGAGGCAGTTTCAACAAATCTATTGATATATGGATTTAGTATTATGGCATACATTAACCTAAAAGCAAGCAATAACAAATTAGAATATCCACCTGAAGACATGCATTGTTTAAATAAACAAACTAATTCTAATAATCACAATCACCCCCAAGTGACTTTAGAATTAAAAACAAATTATTTTAACTTAGGAGGTATTAACATTAAAAATTAAATTTGTTTTATTCTTATTACCAATGTCATGCCAATATAATAAAATAAAAATGTTAAAATAAAACAAAATATAAAAATAAACAAGAATACAAGAACATTCCATTAGCCTGAATACCTAATTCTGACAAACTAACACTCTACATTGCATTTCCAAATTAACTTGTTAGTCACTTTAATTTACTTGTAAAACAAAATATATTTTTATAAGGAGTTTCTTTTAAATATGTTCCGATTTTAAGGGAATCCTCAGTCTTTTTATACTAATTATATCAATAACAACAAATCAGCGACATAAAAGTTTTATTTTTAATAGAGCTCACAATGTACTTATTTAAAAAATCCATTAAAGTATGCCTATAAGATCCTGTAAATACTCAAAATACTTAAATCCTCAAAGATAGTTTGTTTTTAGTTGTGTGAAACCTATTCCAACACTAAACCCAAATTCTCAAGAATGCAAAATGCGAAATTATGACATAACTTACTCTTGCTCCATTGCACTGAAGACTATGGACTGTGCCAAAATGAAACAGTTGGGATCCACCTGCCCATCTTCTCCACAAATCTTAGCTGTAAAAGAAATGGGAAATAACTCAATTTCTATTAAATGCAAATGCACACATTTGTGAGTCAAAGTAGGAAATGATTGTAAAGGCATATAAATTTGGTTTTATATGGAACTAAGAGAATATACAGGTTAATAGCTGATCTTGAGGTAGAGGTCTTTCTAAAGCATATAAGTACATATGCAAAAGCAGAAACCAAGATTTAACATAAGCTTAATTCTATACATTAAAACACCCCCAAAACAAAATAAAAAAGGCAAATTAGGGGGGAAATTTACAGCATGTATAACAGGTTCTTCTCTGTATAAGAGTATCACTCATCTATCAAAACATTTCTTTTACAAATTAATAAAAAACATCTCAAAAGGAAAACTGAGCAAAGGACATAAAAAGACAATTAGCAAAGAACAAATATAAAAGGGCAATATGGAAAAATAAGGATGCACACTAGTAATTAAATATAGTTACAGATTAAAATAAGAAGGCACTCCAACTTTTGTCTAGAAAACAGGCACAAAAGTGTTTTAACAATCCATATATTTAATTGCTTACGTACATACGTTTTAGCAAAGGCATGGGAAAAGGAACACTAGTGCTAGTGGGAATATAAACTGTTGTGTATTCCTGGAAGGCCATTTGACAATTTCTAGCATTAGCTTTAAAAATGAACATATTACAATCAGCAATTTCATTTCTAGAACTGTAACACAAAATTACGGATTGGTGGATTTATCTACAAAACAGTTTATTAACAAACAAATGGGACTACATCAAACTAAAAAGTTTTTACACAGCAAAGGAAACCACCAACAAAATAAAAAGACAACCCAGGGAGTTAGAGAACATACCGTATTCACCAATGATACTTCTGATAAGGGGTTAATATCCACAATTTATAAAGAACTTATAAAACTCAAAACAAAAAACCAAACAATCCAATTAAAAATGGGCAAAGGGACTGGAATACACTTCTCCAAAGAGGATATATGGAGAACCAAGATGAAGACAATGCATGTCTTCAGGTGGATATTCTAATTTGTTATTGCTTGCTTTTAGGTTAATGTATGCCATAATACTAAATGCTGGTACTTGCATCTTTAGACAATCACATAGAAATTACAACTAAAATATAGAAAAACCATCATTTGGAACTGCCTGAAAGCTGGATGAATGGAAGTCCTACAACATGAGAGGTAAAGATGGAAGTACATAGAGACTGGTAGGAGAGGTGGAGGCACAAAAGCAGCTGGTCCAACACCCACATCTGGCATGGTTTTAGTCAGAGGGATATCATCGCAGTGTAGGCCTCCTGTGAGAAGCAAGAGGTCCCAGCCCCACACCAGACACCCAGGCCAGGGTTTTAGAGCTAGGAGAGATGTCCCCATAACTCTGGTGGTAAAAACCAGCAAGGATTGTGACTGAGTGACATGAAGACTGCAGAAGACCCAGGCAGTTCCTCTTAAAGGATCTTGCACAATCTTACACTGTCCTGCTTGCTTTGAGCTCCATCACCAGATGCCAGCATTGGGAGAACCAGGGAAATATGGGGAGGAACTGGATTGTTGCATTAGGAGCAGGAACTTGGGGGTGGCTTATTTTCAGACGGGGTGCTCATGGGGGTCATTGTTCCTGTGCTGGCACCTTCTTCATCACAGAGCTGACTCGCAGCCCTATCTGAGTTTCCATCAGCATGGTCCACAGTGTTTGTTCTGCCCTGGTGATTCCCTGAGACCCTGCCACATCCAACTTGCAGTCCTACCCAAACTGCTTGCAGCTGCCATATGAATGGTCTGTCTTGGCTTAGGACTTTCCTAAAATCTTGTAAACAAGCAGCAACTGGCATCAGCATGCCTAAGACCCAGCACTAGCACCAGCCTGTCTTGCTAAACAGCTGGGCCTCACCCAGGACTTCCAAACCCAATACAAGTAGCAGCCATCTGTAGATCACTGGGTAGCTCCTGCAGGGTGGTCCCAGGCAGTGGTTGATTTTGCACCTCCCTGCAGGCCCTAGAGCCAGTGAACTCGGTGGATGGCTTCAGACCACACCATACAACTCCACACACCCACAGCAACATACTAAAGGGACAGACTCAGGGAGCACCAAAGCCCCACTGAAGCAAGTTTTGCTCCAAAGAATTGTCTCCTGCACAGCAGATCTCCCACAGTAGTTGCAGCTGATACTCAGCCAATTGGCCTAGAGATCAATTCTTCCCAATGACACTAACAGCAATCAAGGCTCAACTATAACAAGACTGCGCACACAGCCCACACAGGGGCTAGAGTGCCCAGCTCAGGTGACTGGGGAGGCTGAGTCACTGGGCCCTAAAGGACACCTATTGCACAAGGCCACTCTACCAATTCTATTGATATAATTTTACTAAACACAGCTGCTGATCTAATATATAGAAACAAACATGGGGAATCGGCCAAAATGTGGAGACAAAAAAATAGGTTACAAATGAAAGAATGGAAGAAATCTCCAGAAAAAGAAATAAATGAAATGGAAACAAGTAAAATACTGGACAGAGTTCAAAACAATAGCTATAAGGTTGCTCAAGGATATTAATGAGAGCTTCAAGGGTCTCAAAGAGAGCTTTAAGGGACCTAGTGAGACTTTCAAGGATCTTAGTGAGAGTGTCAAAGATATGAAAAAGAACCAGTAGAAATTAAGCTTACACTAACTGAAATACAGAATAATTTACAGGAATTAAAGAGTAGAGGATTCTGCCGAAACCGTTTTTGGATCAGTGGTAGAGCGTCGGTCTGCGGACTGAAGGGTCCCAGGTTCGATTCCAGCCAAGGGCATGTACGTTGGTTGTAGGCACATCCCTAGTGGGTGGTGTGCAAGAGGCAGCTGGTCAATGTTTCTCTTTCATTGATGTTTCTGGCTCTCTATCTCTCTCCCTTCCTCTCTGTAAAATATCAATAAAATATATTTTTTTAAAAAAGAGTAAAGGATTCTGAGAAACAAATCAACAATTTGGAATATGAGGAAGAAAAACACCCAATCAGAGGAACAAAAAGAAAAAAAGAATCCAAAAATATAAAGATAGTGTAAGGAGCCTTTAGGAAACTTCAAGTGTACCAACTATCACATTAGGGCGTGCCAGAAAGTGAAGAGAGAGCACAAGATATTAAAAATCTATTTGAAGAAATAATGAGCATGGCCAGCGTGGCTCAGTGGTTGAGCATTGACCTATGAACAGGAGGTCATGATTCGATTCCCGCTTAGGGCACATGCCCAGGTTGCGGGCTCGATTCCCAATGTAAGGTGTGCAGGAGGCAGATGATCTATGATTCTCTCTCATCATTGATGTTTCTAACTCTCTCCCTCCTTCTCCTTTCCTCTCTGAAATCAATATATTTAAAATAGAGAGAGAGAGAGAGAGAGAGAGAGAGAGAGAGAGAGAGATATTAAAAAAAAAAATAAAAAAGAATGACAGAAAACTTTCCCTACCTGGTGAAAGAAATAGATTTGCAAGTTCATAAAGCCCAGAGAGTTCCATTTTAATTGTAATGTGTCTTGGTGTGGGCCTCTTTGGAAAAGGAATCCAAAGAGACCCACACCAAGACACATTACAATTAAAATGTCAAGGGTAAAGACAAAGAGAGAATCTTAAAAGCAGCAAGAGTTAAAAGCAGTTAAGTTACCTACAAGGGAGTACCCATATGTCTATCAGCTGATTTCTCAACAGAAACTTTGCAGGCTAGAAGGAATGGCAATAAATATTCAAAGTTATGAAAAGCAAAAACCAAAGACCTACAACCAAGATTTCTCTACCCAGCAAAGCTATTATTTAGAATTGAAGGTCAAATAAAGAGCTTCACAGACAAGAAAAAGCTAAAGGAATTCATCACCACCAAAACAATATTACATGAAATGTCAAAGAGCAAGAAGAGGAAGAAGAAATATGAACAATAAAATGGCAATAGATATCTATCAATAATTGAATCTAAAAGTCAAAATAAAAAAAAAACAAAAAACAAGGAATCTAATGAACAAAATGAATGGATGAATGAAATAGAATCAGAGGCATGCAAATATGGAACAGATTAATGAAGTTCAAAGGGAAGGGGAGTAGTGGGGTGGGAAGAGATTAACCAAAGAGCTTATATGCTCTTTGTAGGAGATGTGCAGGAGGCAGCTGATGGATGTTTCTCTCTCATCTATGTTTCTAACTCTATCCCTCTTCCTTCCTCTCTGTATAAAGTCAATAAAATATTTTTTTTAAAAGAGAAATTTTAATCATTGTACTGTTGATATTTGGCTCTGTTGACTAATGAGTTTGCAGACCACTGCCTTAAACAATAAAGATTTAAAAAAAAAAAGAGGATTTACAAATGACCAATAGACATGTGAAAAGATGCTCAATGTCACAATCACCAGGGGGAAAAACACACCCTCATAGACACAGACAATAGCATGGTGATGACTTTGCTTCCTACTTCACTAAGAAAACAGAAGCAATCAGAAAACTTATTTCTATCACTTCTCATCACATCTATCAATCACCTGCACCTCTACCCATCTGGTCCTATTACTACAGATATACTCTCCTCACTCCTCTTTGAGTAACTCTTTATTTGAGCACTGGACCTCATCCTCTTCAAGACTTCTTTCCTATAGCAACTGTCTCCCTTTTCTCTTTAAATTTTTTAAACTTAAACTTCTTCTAACGTCACTTCTTCAAAATAGACTCGCCCAGGCTGTGGTATTTGTGGAAGAGCCACACTCAAGGGGCCAAAGAGCCGCATGTGGCTCACGAGCCACAATTTGCCAACCACTGATCTAGGAGAATATGAGAATAAATGAACCAGGAAACTGTAGTAGAATCGTTGGGTTTCATTAAGGTCCCACTGACATCAAACTAATAGCAAATTCAGTCAGCTGTACCTTCAAAGTATTTTTTAAGTTCTACAACTTGCCTGGCTCGTGTGCTCAGTGGTTAAGAGTGTCAGCCTATTCACTGAAAGGTTGGAGGTTCGATTATCAGTCAAGGGCATATACCTGAGTTGTGGGTTCGCTACCCACTTCCACTCCCCCACCTTCCCATTGAGGCTTGTACGGGAGGCAACTAGTCTTATCTCTCCCTCTTCCTCTCCCCTCCACTCTCTCTGAAAAGCAATGGAATAAAAATATCCCTGAAGTTAAAAAACTTCAAGGATTTGTGGAAAATGGAAGAGGCTGTGGTGGTATAGTCTGGGATTAGTCTGAATCCCCACATAAAGACAAGAGTAATTGGATAGCAACTCCAAAAACCCACCGATAACATTTACAATAAAACTAGGCCGGTGCAACACATAATAATATTAGCTAGACAAATAATTAGAACAGGATTTAGAAGAATAAATTTCAAAAAGTAAAAGTGACTCTATAAAGATATATATGTAATTAACATCTAAAAATGTATAACAGACACTGGATGGAAACTTTCTCAGATACCTTGATCCTTCAGAAGATGTTCCTTCTCATGGGATTACATCATTAATTTGATAAGGTTTAAGAGAAGGAAAATTAGAATTGCAATGACATTTTATTTCAAATGCTTTACTTGGCTCAAAACTCCTTCCTTTTCTCCCTACCCCAGCCTGGTTATCAATTGGTACAAACAAACCTCCTAAGGAATCACTAGCCAACCTATCCCTTAAGCAGTCAAATTCTAATCAGCTAAGACATCCCAATTGCATTATTAGAAAAAGTCAGTCTAGGGAAGTCTGGGAGATGGTAGCAACAAATTCCTACCTAAAAACAGACAAAGGAACCGCACAGGAAAACTAAAATGCCATGGCAACTCTGCAATAAAACTGGATGAAAATCCCAAATGTAGGCAGATAAGAACAAATCACCAAGAGTCGTTAAGACATGTGCTAGAGGTATCTGTGTGGGAAAAAGAAAGGGGACACAATGGGGACATCTGATGGACCCCAAAATAGCCAACATTTGTTCACTAGAAAGTACGGTGGGCCAAGTAAGAGCCACAGCTGAGACTGGAGGTGTTGCTATTTCCAAAAATGAGTGAGTACAAAGGACTTGCAGTCAAGACTGAAAGAGCCTCACACGGGGAAGAATCTACTAGGAAGAGAATAATATGCTCCAGTTTGTAAATTAAAAATATCATTTTTGGTAATAAAAATTTGAAACTTACTAGTAGGACTTGATGGAATATACTGTTCAATGAATAAATGAACCACTTTCGTCTGTGATTACCAGTATACCTAAGCCTTGCTGACGCAACACAGTAAAGGCTTCCAAACTGTTTTTTTTTTTGTTTTTTTTACTATGTTTACAGAACAACATATTTATGTGACTCAATACACACACACACACACACACACACATATAATGGAAATAATTTCCTGAAATGATGTTCCTTTAGCCATCATTTGGATGAGGACATAGAGATTGATCTCAATACAGTTTGAAAAACACTGCCAAGCAGCATACTACTTAACATGTGGGGGTCTGGTTTCAAATCCTGATGCCATGTCTGAGCTCTACTAAATTAGGAAAACTACTTATCCTCTATGCTTTGGTTTCCTCATTTATAAAATAACCAGAGGCCTGGTGCACGAATTGCTGCATAGGTGGAGTCCAGCCGGTCTGCCCCAATCAGGGCCGATTGGGCCAGGCTGGATGGTGGGGAGGGACCACAGGCAGTTGGCCAACCAACCCTCTACCCGCACCAAACTCCAAGTTGAGAGTTCAATTTGCATATTAGGCTTTTATTATATAGGATAACTATTTATGCTGCAAGATTACTTTTTAAAAAATATCTTTATTGATTTCAGAGAAGAAAGAAGAGATAGAAACATCATTGATGAGAGAGAATCATTGATCGGCAGCCTCCTGCACCCCCATAATGGGGATCAAGTTGGCAACCCTGCCATGTGCCCTTGATGGAAATCGAACCTGGGACCCTTCAGTCTGCAGGCCAATATTTTATCCACTGAGCCAAGCCTACTTGGGCTGTAAGATTCTTTAGAAGAGTAAATGAGTTTATCTGTGGGAAGTACTTAGAATATTGTCTGGGACACAATAAATACTTAAGAAATGTGTGATATTATTGTTCTTGCTATTGTTATTCAAATAAAAGTTTAAGAATTTGGTCTAACATGAGAGAAAGTTTGTGAGTGAGCTACAACCACATATCTGAAAACAAACTAGGAAAAGGTATATTAAATTCCATATTCATAAAAAATTCTCTTAATCAATAACCAATTTTTTTTTGGCTGTAATTCTAGCACTACTTACCTATGATATCATTTCTCATTGCTTCTGTAATAGGTATTGGTTTAGCAGCATCTGGAGATATATATTTGGTAAAAGTATTCACTGCATCTTGTTCTATACCTGCAAGGGAAGAAGGGAAAAACTTCAAAAATCAATACGCAACTTGAACTATCATGGACTATATTTGTGAACAGCAGGGCTTAGATTTACTGTGAGCCCAAGCATACATGCATGTGTGCGTGCACAAACACACACCACACACACACTTATGAATCAGGAGGTCATGGGTCTTTTCTCAGTCAGGGCACATGCTACAGTTGTGGATTCAATCCACAGAGAAGTATGTGTGTATGTATACATATATATTACAAATATAAGCATATATACTAGTAAAAGTATATTTAGGACAAAACAATAGTCCTCATGATACCACTTTTTCACTATTTGGTTTGTGGAACAGAGGAATTATATGTGAATTCCCCCCCTACTCCTCATCTAAGTGAACAAGCTCCAAAATAGCAATGATGCATGCATGCTCTCTTTCCAGGGTTCTTCTTCAAAGTCTGAGCTTGAAGGATTTGCATAATAATTTAACAGCAGGAGCTCAAAAATGATTTCTAAATCTACATTTAAAATGCTTTTCAAATAATTTAACATTCATAAATATTACATTCATTTGACCTTTATAACCCTTTAATGTTAAAACAATGAATCTCGCCGAAACAGGTTTGACTCAGAGGTAGAGCGTAGGTCTGCGGACTGAAAGGTCCCAGGTTCGGTTCCGGTCAGGGGCATGTACATTGGTTGCGGGCACATCCCCAGTGGGGGTGTGCAAGAGGCAGCTGGTCGGTGTTTCTCATAGACGTTTCTAGCTCTCTATCTCTCTCCCTTCCTCTCTGTAAAAAATCAATAAAAATATATTTAAAAAAACAAAAAAACAAACAAAAAAAATCTCAAATTTCGTATTCTCAGGACTTTTGATATTTTAAAAATTATTGAGGGCCCTAATGAGCTTTTGTTTATGTTTTATGTCTAGATATTAAAATCCACTGGTCTTTTACCCATAGTTTTATAACATCATATATTTCCAAATATTTTGGAAAATACTGGTTTACTGGCTTATGCAGATTTTCCCAGTGTTGAGACATTGCATCATATAGGGTAGAAAAAGAAATCACATCATTGGCAGCATCAATGATCTTGCTGGAACACTCTTTAAAGCTGTCAAAGCACAGTGGTGAATACAAGTTTTCCAAAATCCTAATTTTCACTTAAAAGCTTCCATTTTTACCACTGGGCAACAAATACTGTCAGTCGTTCTTGTTGAATAACAAGTTTACTTCATTCATTCCCAAGAAAATGTCTGCCAAATATCCAACTCTAAATTACCGTAGTTTTCCAATACTTATTCTTACAAGTAAAAATCATATTCTATTAAAAAAGCAGCTACTTTAACTCACGAAAACAACCAACTACCATGTGCTTTATCTTAACACAAGTGTATGCTTCAGTACGCAGAAATGCTTCTGCATATTTCCCACATCATACATATTAAACAGGGTTTAGATTTAATAAAATTATCTACTTCTCCAAAGACACCGTGAATGAAGGTGGCACTCCGTTTTCCTGGGAGTATGTGGCAACACCGTGACTACTAGTCCGATGTGGTTCAATGCCAGCAGATTTTCCCACAGCTGCCACCCACCACCATTGCAAATGTTAACAGAGTAAAAAGACAACATGGCAGGCGTGGCTCAGTGGTTGACCTATGGACTAGGAGGTCACGGTTCAATTCCCAGTCAGGACACATGCCTGGGTTATGGGTTTGATCCCTGAGGAGAAGGGAGGAAATGCAGGTGGCAGCCAATCAATGATTCTCTCTTTCCCTCTCTCCCTTTCACTCTGAAATCCATTAAAAAATACATATAAAAAGAAAACAAAAACCTTCGATAGGGGGTATGCAGAAGGCAGCTGGTCGATGTTTCTCATCAATGTTTCTAGCTCTCTATCCCTCTCCTTGCCTCTCTATAAAACATCAATAAAATATATTAAAATATATATATATATATTTTCTGACCATAATATAATTGAGAAATCAATAACATGAAAAAAAAAAAAAAAAACCTCAGGAAAAATTTCTCCAAATACTTGGAAACTAAGCAACATATTAAAAATTAAAAAAAAAATTTTTTCAATTACAGTTTACATTCAATTTTATTTTGTATTGAAACAGTGGTTAGACAATTATATGCCCAGTGCCCACCTGGTACCATACACAGTTTTTACTGTATTTCATGTGCTCTAATTTAAACCCCCATAACTATTTTGTATTTACCAATTTAGAGTTCTCAATCTCTTCACCTTGTCACCCAATTCCCCAGTCCCCTACCCTTCTGGCAACAATCAGTATATTCTCTGTAACTGTTTTGTTATTCTTTCTGTTTTATTTATTCATTTATATTTTTCTTTAGACTCTTCATATGATTAAAGTCTTATCTCTCTCTGATTTCAGTTACCATTAATAACCTCTAGGTCCATTTATGCTGTTGAAAATGGTAAGATTTTATTCTTTTTATGGCTGAGTAATATCCCACTAGAGGTGTGTGTGTATTATATATTTATATACACACACACACACACACACACACACACACACACACACACTAGCTAGAGGCCCAGTGCACAAATTCAGGAATATGTGGGGTCTGGCCGGCCCGGTCTTCAGATTAGGGCTGGGCCTGTCAGGAGGAGATGTCAGCAGGTTGGCCCCCCAGAGACAGAGAACTACAAATTGGTAAATACAAAATAGTTATGGGGATTTAAATTAGCTCTCTGCCTGCTGCCCTGCCCTCCTGTAGCTCCCCCTCACCCTCTTCATAGCTTGCTGCCCTGCCCCCTCCTATAGCTCTCCCCTGCCCGCTTGTAGCTCACAGTCCCACCCTCCTGCTGATCTGTGACCCGGTTGTTATGTGGTCGGTCATTACACTTCACAGTGTAATGACCATTTCATATTACATCTTTATTATATAGGATTCTTTTTACAATAATCAGTTGATGGACACTTGGGTTGCTTCCATATCTTGGAAAATTGCAAATAACGTTGCAGCGAACATAGAGGGGTGAATAAATTTTGTGGAATGAGCGTTTTAGTTTCCTTCAAATATGAACCAAGAAGTGGAATCACTAGGTCATAGGCAGTTTCGTTTTTACTTTTTTGAAGAACCTCTATATTGCTTTCCACAGTGGCTGCACCAAACTGCATTCCCACCAACAGTATATGAGGGTTCCCATTTCTCCACATCTTCACAAACACTTCTTCGTTGACTTACTGATTACAGCCATTCTATCAGATGTGAGGTGATATCTCATTGTGGTTTTAATTTGCATTTCTCTGATGATTAGAGACATTGAGCATATTTTCATATGTACATTGTCCATCTGTGTGTTGTCTTCGGAAAAGTGTCGTTAGGTCCTTTGCCTGTTTTTAATTGGTTTAGTTTTTTTTGGTGTGTTTTGTTTAAATTGACTTGTATGAGTTCTTTATAAATTTTGCCAACTAACCCCTTATCAGATGTATCACTGTGACTATCTTCTCCCATTCAGAAAGCTGTATTTTGATTTTTTTGCTAATGGTTTCCTTAGCTGTGTACAAACTCTTTAGCCTAATGTAGTCTCAATTGCTTATTTTTGTTTTGTTTCCCTTGCCTATGTGATATATGAAAAGAAAAAAAAAGAAAATAAAAAAGCCAGAAATGCTGATACCTAAAAATTTCTTCTAAAAGTCTTATGGTTTCAGATCTTACATTTAAATATTTAATCCATTTTGTTTTTATTCTTATACTAGAGGCCCGGAGCATGACATTTGTACACTGGGTGGAGGGGGGGGGACCCGCGGAATCTCTCAGCCTGGCCTGCGCCCTTTCGCAGTCTGAACACCTTGGGGGATGTTCCCACTGGGAGCAGGCCTAAGCCAGCAGACAGACATCCCCTGAGGGTCCTTGGTGCTGCCTTGGAGGTGGGAGAGGCTCCTGTCACCGCTGCTACACTGGCTTCTGGTTGAGTGGTGCTCTCCATTTGAGCACACTGACAACCAGGGGGCAGCTCTGGCGTTGAATGTCTGTCCCTGGTGGTCAGTGTGTATCCTAGCGACCAGTTGTTCAATCTATTTGCATATTAGGGTTTCATTTTATAGCCTAATAAAGGCTCTGGTGCACGAATTCTTGCACCGGTGAGGTCTCTCAGCTGGGCCTGCAGGAATCAGTGACCACCATGCCACCGCAGCCAGGCCTTACCCAACAGCTCATGGGGCTCCAGCCCGCTGTCCACGCTGATCCCGCACAGCACAAAGTAGTGTGCAACTGATCGGGGGCGTGGGTAGGGGAAGTGTCCGCGGGAGAGGCATGTGCCCCTGCAGCTGTGCTCGCCAGCCTGGAGTCGGTCACCTGTCAGCTGAGTGGCGCTCCTGCTGTGGGAGTGCACTGACCACCAGAGGAGCAGCTCCTGAATTCAGCATCTGTCCCCTGGTGGTCATTGCACATCACAGCTATTTGTCGACCAGTCAACTGGTCGCTTAGGCTTTTATATATTTATAGATAGCACAAAAGTCCCAGCTAGTGCAATAAGACAAGAAAAAAGAAAAAGTGTGAAGAAGAAATAACACTGTCTCTATTCACAGATAATGTGAATGTTTAGGTAGAAAATCCTAAGTAATCTACCAAAAAAGCTCATAAAAGTAGTGAGTTTAGTAGGTCACAGAATAGAGGATCAATATATAAAAGTCAATCATATTTCTATAAACTAGCATTGAAAAAATTAAAAACAATTTTTTTTTACATACCACTCACAACAGCACCAAAAAAGAAATGCTAGACACAACTCTAACAAAACACGTAATGAATCTTTATGCTGCAAAGTATAAAATGCTGATGAAAGAAATCAAAGACCTAAAAAAATGAAAACGCACACCATATCTATGGATTATAACATTCAATACAGTTACGGTATAAATTATCCTCAAACTGATTTATTGTTTAAATGCAACTTGAATAAAAATTCCAGTAGGATTACTCATAAATACAGATGAGATTATTCTAAAATTTATATCAAAGTAAAAGAAATTA